GTTGCTCCTCTTTTTTTTTTCTCTATCTCTCGATCGCTCGAATAAAAAATATATCGTAAATTTAAGAAGAAATCATCACTTCGATTCGACGACGACGACGATGATGACTAGGAAGATGAAGAAGACGAAGAAGACGAAGAAGAAGGAGAAGAGAAAAAATAATAAACGTACGAATTACTAATTATTTTTAATTGAGACATTTGAGAGAGACGGAAAGGCCAGGACTCAAATTTACATTAAAAGAGATTATCTCGTTATAGGTAATCTTTTTTTCTTCTTCTTCTGCCTTTTTTTCATCGAAGAGTGAGAGAGAGAAACTAGCCAGTCAGGACGCAAAAAAAAGTCCATCAATTTTAAAGTACAACCGTGTATAGTAGCAAAAGGAAGAAAGAAAGACAGAGAGAGAGAGAGAGAACAGAAAATGCGTAGCAATAATTTTGCGTTCGGTATAAAGCAGAAATTATATATCCATAGGTATATTACGAACGTGTACAACGGAGGAACACGAGCGCTCGCTCGGGCGGCGGTTCAGGATCAAAGAAAGGCAAATAATATTCAAGCGGCCGACATATCTTCATTATGCTCGCTGCTCTCGGGGCCCCACGGAGCGAGACAGAGAGAGAGAGAGATCTCTTCCCTCTCGGCTAAATTGAATAGTCCTGCCGCTCGGATATTGGATAATGTAACCCGTGTATAGCCCACGTATATATAACCATCGGTTATTACGGATAAAATGCAGACTTTTACTTTCTTTGCGACGACGATCGAATTGAGAGATTGAGAAAAAAAATCGTCCATCCAGTCATACATACTCGATGGATACTTATTTCCTTACGCGGCGCAATTCCGAGGTGACACATTAGCCTTGCGCGCTGCAGAGATTGCGCGCTGCATCTTCTGAGCAATTAAACACGAGGCATATAAACGTCGCGCTAAACCGAGCCGCACGTAGATACATCGGATACGTTTGTGCGTATACACGCGAACGAACTCGTAAATTAAAGGCTAGGAGAGCAGTTGCGCGCGCGACATTGGAAATGTAGAACCTCTCTCTGTGTGTAACTATACCACACCGCTATATATACGTGATACCGCGCGCGCGTCGTTTGCGTTTATAGCGCGTGTCTATGTGCTACGTATACTGCAGTTAACATCGCTTCGTGCGTATACGTATAACATTTCGACCGTATTCTTGAATTGAAATTGTTGCAAAAGGAAGAAAGAAAAAAAATTGGAAATAGCGAGCTTTTCGCGTGTGCAAAAATTGCTTTTAATTAAATTCTTTATATACGTAACGGTTGCAGAGACATAGAGAGCCCCGAATGCGCGTGTACAGCGCACACCTGTCTACGAACAAAAAACTAGTTTTTTTTTTCTCGAATAAGCCAGATGGATTCGTTTATTTTTTTGCTAAATTTTTCTCGAAATTCCACGAGCGATACATAATATGTGTATAATACAACGGGACTGCCGCGTTATATGTCAACGAGAAACAGTTAATATATCATCGCGATAATAGACCGTCTGTGTCTCGTGGTGGCGGCGGTGGCTCCAGCCCAAAATTTGTATATTTTATAATATTATAATATACGAAAAATTCGACAATGACTCGCGAATTATATTTATGTATCCTGCGTATACACGAGGCCCCCCAAGCCCGCGGCGGTGTATTTGTCACACGCATATTTCCGCATTTTCCAAGAATCTCGAGATCTAGTGTCAGTGGTCCCTGCGCGACCATATTTCGCGCGACCGCCGTTAACGTATACTTGGATATTGGCCCTATACGATGTACGTTACACGAGCTCGATAATTTTTTTCATTATTGGGGGAAAGGCGCCGTTACACACATACACACACACCCCCTTTTGATAAGAAAGCAAAGCAGAAAAAAAAACAGCAACGAAGCTACATAGTAGAGAGAGCTATAGACAGCAATGAAGAAGAAAAGCCATAGGAAAACAAGGCGTATCTCACCTTACGTACGAGCCAATCGCGTCGAACATTTTTCGCTTTTTCGACAAAAAGTCACGTAGCCTGCATCAGCATCGTTTAAATTGCTTTTCTTTACCTCTCTCTCTTTACTATATCGCGCTACGGCGCGCCGAACGCATCCCTCGAGACATATACGCATACAAAAAGCTCTCTTGTGCAAAAAAAAAAAAGGTACAGCGCGCACATACACACGCGCTAGCGCGCGCACACACGAGACCGATCTCTCGCTCGCGCGTCTATATTCCGGGTAATTTTGGTAAAAGGGTAGGTATATAGCGGCGCGCGTACACCTGCACCCCACGCCGCTCTAAAAGCCTCTTTCTCTTTCGCGCGTATACGCACGTACGTTCATGACGTGTATGCTGCTGGGTTCTCGGCTAGGGAGGCTTCGGAAAACGCGCGGTGGTACGAATTTCCTAATTCCTCGACTGTATACGGAAATATGCACTCGCGCGTGTGCATCGGTGCGCGCGCGGGGCTATGCAATGCGAACGTTGGAAATAAAAAGAAGAAAAAGAAAAGGAAGGAGTACTGGGGAAAAAAGGCGAACGAGCGATGATCGAAAACAAGGCTCGAACTACGAGGAGTTATCTCAGGTGTATATATATACAGAGCTATATATGTATGCCGAGCTCGCGGGGGTAGAAAAAGGCGGATTAATCGAAATGAATTCAATTTACGGCGAGAATGCAGCTAGTACACAACGCAGCAGTTGGAAATCCTTTTTTATACCCCGTCTTTTTTTCATTCTGTGTGTGTTGCGCTGCTGCTGCTACTGCTGCTCGGCTGCAGTACAAATCAGCTTTGCGAGAACTGCAGCGCGGCTACAACAACAGCAACGCGACGACAACAACAACAACAACAACGAGCTAAGCTTTTTTTCAACCACCACCACCACCACCCCCTCGATCCCTTCATTCAATTCCATCAATCGAATCGAAAAACGTGTCTCATCGTCCTTTTTCCCTCTCGCTCTTCCTGTCAACTCGATAGTAGTATGAAAATGTTGCGCTTGTATGTATAAGTATCGATCGATTTTACTTCGTTACGTGTACAGAGCTAGCCTCGCCCGATGATATAAAAAAAGCTGCGCTGGCCGCGCTGTATTTTTTTTTCTTTTTTTTTGAATTAACGATTCGCTTTAATTAGCTTCGAAAGATTGCGGTTCTCGAGCTGCTGCCACATGTGTATACCAGTTCTTTTGTTAGCGATACGTATACCGATACACACGCAGAAAACAACGCGTCTACGCACGTATATGCGACGGAAAAAATTAAAAAAAAAAAAGAAAAAAGAAAAAGAAGGCAAGCACAAAAAAAAGGGAAAAAATGAAGCTTGAAAAAAAAATCCTCGCACTTTTTTACGTGCGTGTCGGAACGAGAGTGAGCGAGCGAGAGGAAGAGCGAGAGAGGCGACAAACATACACGCACGAGTGCGAAAAAAGGCGTGCGAACAAAAGGCTCTTTCCCACGTTGGCTGCATTACGCGGAAGAGTCCAGTAGTGCGAGTTATATAGCAGTAGCTAGTCTCTGACTTATAAGCCATATGACTAATTACACGTATACATGTGTGTTATGTATATGCATGTATAAGCACATTACGGCACAAACAGGTTCTAATTGGTGCAGCACATAGACACGTGGTGGTGATGGCGATGGTAACTTCGAGCTTGTAACACACTTGACCAGACGCGCGGGCGAGCCAGAGTTCGATTTAATTTACAAAGCTTAATTCGTAACTTCCGGTCATGGGCTGCTGCTGCTGCTGCTCCGAGCTAACACGAGTTAAGGGAGAGATCGATGCAGCACTAGGGCCGAGTAGTAGTAGTAGTAGTAGTGCGGCGTACTTTTAGCGGATGATTTACAAAGTTTTGCAGTTTATAAATTAATATTCATGCGCGCGTCCTGCGAAATTATAATACGATGTACCGGTAGGTCTACGTTATACACACATACACACACATACGGACTATTTAATGAAGTTTGAGTGTTTATGGAGTTTCGTCGTATAATATGTCTATAGTCTCGACGAACTATTAAACGTCGGAGGAAATTTAGAAATTTCAAGCGAGGCAAAACCTTTGACGCGTGTGTGTGTTGTGTATATATAGAGATGTAGACTCGCCGAAAAAGCCTCGAGATTAAGACGTTAGCCCCGCAGAGAGCCCATTAACTCCGCTAGCTCGGACTCTCTTATGGGTCCGTGAGTGTGTACTTGCGTAAACTCTGTGTATACAAGCGCGTGGATAGATTCCTCGAATCGACGCCCGTTTTTCAATTCTCCCGTGAAAAAATAAATAAAACGTAGCCAGCAAAAAAAAAAAAAAAAACAACCAGATTCACGTGACGACGTTTGGCTCGGGCACACGAAATACCTGTGCGTATATTCCAATATATATGTACATAGCTGCTGCTGTACTATACTATGTGCGCCCGCGCGCGATTTTGTGCACCTGTTGAGCGCCGCCGCCGCGCCGCAAATACGTGCACGCGCTTGAGCTCGAAGCTCGGCTTTAATTATTCCGGCACCTTCAATTTTGCACCTCTCTCTTGCTCGAGCAGCAGTGAGCTTGAGAGCTGCTGGAGTACATTGTATATGGAGTACACTGTATATTGTGTGTGTGCCGAGCCGTGTTATACCTAATATTTCAACGCGCCGGATGTTTGATCAATTTTCTCTCTGCTGGAAGAAGTCAATATCGGTGACGCGTGTTGCGAATGGAGTATAGAAAAAAAAAATAGAGGAAATAGAAGGAGAGAGAAATATTTCGCACCGAACCCGCGTGTTGTGCCTCTGATTTCTCGCTAATTCTGCTGAACGCGATACGTGCTTACAGTTAGCGTGTCACATTCAACACTGTACGCGCCTTGCACCCATTGTAACTCGAGCTTTAGCTGCGATAATACGCGTAAAATATATAATACGCGCTTTTTTTCCTTATAGAATTTTTTCGTTATCAAATCGTAAACTAACTTTGACATTTTTGTTGTTTCATGTTCGCGCAGTCGAGGCCAGAGCCCAGGACAGAAACACCTTGGAGATACTGCCGAACGGCGAGGTGCTGACCAAAGCCGTCGGCTCGAGCATTCTGCTGACTTGCAAGCCCCAGGTGGCGGACACCAAGCTCATCAGCGACATACAATGGCTCGATCCGTCGAATCGGCCCGTCGACGTTCTGAGGTACGTGTACATTTTTCTCTATACGCATACGCGCGACGTATTTTCTTCTCAAACAATTTTTTTTTCTTCGCTTTCTCATTTCTGCGTATATACTACTATATCGAATTTGTCGCGCTGTATATCGAAAAAAAAAAATGAAAATTGTATTTACCGTGCGCAGGCTTTTGTGTATATAATGGAGTACATACGAGCGCACACACATACACACGTACAAATTGTGAAAAGTGTGCGCCGTATTCTCTTTATCACGTATAACGCATGTGTTTTTTCGTAATTATTACACTTGGTGAAAAATGTACATATACAATACGAAAAATCAATAATTATTTTTATTATTATTATTATTATTATATGATACACAGAGTATACCGCACAAATTGACACTTGAAAGTTTGAAATCAATAATATTATATGAATATTTTAAACATATTTTTATACATTTAACAAAAAAAAAAAAAAGGATATAATACATGAAAATTATATCTGGCTGTTTTTGTCTTTGTTTTTTATATCTGCACTCACACACAGACTTTACGTCATGCCGCTCGACAGGCGAGTATTTATAATATTAAGCCCTGAGATTTTCATGATCGTCAACCACCTTACAACCTACCTGTACCTATACCCTCATCTCTTTACAGATTTGAAAAAAAATCTTTGCTATAACAGATGTTTGTTCGTTTGCTGGGTTTTCTTGTTTTGCTGTGTTTTTTGTCGTTGTCGTTGAGCATCATATTTTTTTTTCTCAAGTTGTACACCGTTGAGAGTATACATATACGATTCGTGCATGCCCTTGCATATGTATACACAGACGCACAAGCGTTTCCATTGTGTGCCGCGTGCTGCACGTATTACAGCGAGTGCCCGTGAATTTTTTTCTCCTCTTCACGCGCACGCGTGTATTTTCCCTCTTGATTTTTTGTCGCTTCTTCTCTCTTTTTTTTTTGTTTTCGTCCGCCTCCCGTAATCCTTTCACGCATGTATTCAGAGATTATTACTGCCAATTTTTTTTTTCTGCTGCTGCCCGCGCGCACACACGAGGGAGAGTCTCTCTTTCTCTCTCTGTGCATTGCGATGTCGCGCGAGGAGTACAGAGGGCACTTCATTATTAGTTTTTTTTTTATCGCCTCCCACGTACACGTATGTATATGCGGTACATATATAGGATACGAGCCGAGGCAGGGCTGCGGCGCTTGTTTCGTATTCATGTATCGTTTCATTTTTAACAAGTCGATTTGTTCCCTTTACTGCATGGAAAATACCTTGTTAATTTGCTCCCGCGTACAGCATGTGTACGTATATGTACGCTGTATATATATCCAGAATGCGCATGTTTCGACTGCAACAACAGCACGAGGAATGATAATGCAGTTATACGTATGGCGAACGTAGTTCCTCGCAAATTTAGCGATCTTTTTTTTTTTTTATATGTTTTTTGTTTTCTGCGTCGTTTTTGATAGAAATCAATTAAGCAGCGAGAGCCGAATCAATCGTTCTCGCCGGGCGTCGATACACACGTCGACGAGTCATCATCGTCTGCGGCCATGCGCTTTATTTTCTCCCGCGTGCCTCTGCTGCTGATAGCTGTCCTGTCATCGACTCTCCCGAACTCACGTTGTTTTTGTATATGTTACGTATATCATAGTTCATCGACGTTTGCCCCCTATATCATCTGTCCAGAACCCACGCGCGTCATTCGCAATTATATAGACGAATGCATGCGCGAAATAAGGCCAGACTTACGACTAATTTTGTTCTCCATCTTTTTTTCCTGTTTCTCTTTTATAATTTATATATACTCATAGAGTGTTACATAATTAAACATCATAGTGGGCAGAATTTATTCATATGTTATGTTTTACGATAGAACGAGTTTTGGTAGACTTATGATGACGATGATCGCGTGTTAATTTTTTGTCCTCGATTTTCGATCTCTAATATTAAATTGTGTTATTTTTTTACTTCCACAGCGCCGCTCAAGGCTACTCGAAGCCGTCGATGTACACCGAGATCCATCAGGACAACAGCCTGTCGCTGTTCTTCAACTCGCTGAAGGAGGAGCAGGCCGGCAAGTACATCTGTCGCGCCATGTACGCCAACACTCAACTGCTCACCAAGACGGTTACCATTGAGACCATAGGTTGGTCCATTGTCTTTTTTCTTTCGTTTAATTTAATTCGTGTAAACTAATTTTTTTTTCCGTTCCGTTCCGAACAGTCGCCATCACCTGGGACAACGCCCCTGAGAACCAGTACCCGATCCTCGGCGAGGACTTCGCCATCAGGTGTCAGGTGCGCGCCCGGCCGTCGCCCACCGTCGACTGGCTCTACAACGGCGAGGTGATACGCACCAACGATCATTACGTGATCGAGACGCACGCGCTGCGCATCAAGAACGTGAAGGAGAGCGACGACGGCATCTACACGTGTCGCGCCTCGGTGCCGCAGACCGGCGAGCTGCAGGAGCGCACGATACGCGTGGAGGTGCACACCCGGCCCAAGATCGAGGAGTACGACACCCACGTGGAGATCACCGAGGGCGAGAACGCCAACGTCATCTGCAAGGCCATCGGCAAGCCGCCGCCCAAGTTCTCCTGGATCAAGAGCCTGACCAAGGAGAATCTCGCGATAACCGATCGCTTCGGCGTGAACGAGGACACGGGCGTGCTCACCGTGACCAACGTGCGCCGCGAAGACACGGGCGAGTACCAGTGCACCGCGACCAATCTCGCCGGCATGGACAGCATCACGATACAGGTGACGGTCATCGTCAAGCCCAAGATCATGGAGTTCCTGAATCAGACGGTGGCCGAGGGCGAGCAGGCCACCCTAGCGTGTCGCGCTTTCGGCAGGCCGCCGCCCAGCATCACGTTCCGCAAGCACACGGCCGATAGGCCCTACATAATGGGCGCCCAGCCGGACGACGACCGCATCGTGCTGCGCAACCAGGCCGACGAGCAGAAGGGCGAGACCCTCGGCGAGCTCATCATCGACCAGACGCTGCGTTCCAACGACGGCATGTACGAGTGCATCGCCACCAACAAGGGCGGCGTCGCCATCAAGAACGGCCACCTCACCACCGAGTTCAAGCCCTCGTTCGCCTCCATGACCAATCGCACCTACTACTCGTGGGATCAGCTGCCCATCAATCTGACCTGCATCGCCGAGAGCATACCCAACGCCACGATACGCTGGACCTATTACGGGGACATGAGCGTGGAGCGGGACCCGGACATCGTCGTGCTGGGCAACGGGCCCGTGTCCACCATCACGGTGACGCCGCGCAATCGCCGCCTCTACGCCCTCTACAAGTGCATCGCCGTGAACAAGCACGGCGAGGCGCAGCACCAGATCGAGCTGCGCGAGGCCCCGAAGCCCGCGGACGTGCAGCAGGTCATCGAGAAGGGCGCCACCGCCACCACCGTCACCTTCGAGATCGTGCCGCCCGTAGCGCCCCAGGATCTGCCCATACGCACGCTCACGGTGCAGTATCGCAGGCAGGACACGTCCTGGCAGACGGCCCAGAATCGCACCTGGGCCGTGATCGGCCAGCAGGGCCGCTACGTCGTCGAGGATCTCCAGCCGCAGACCATGTACGATTTCCGCTTCGCCGCGACGAACGACGCCGGCCGCGGCAACTGGGCCAAGGTGATGCACCTCGGCACGCTGAGCCGCGACGTGCCCGGACCCGTGCGCTTCCTGCCGACGCCCGAGCGCGACTATCTCGTGTCGCACTTCCCCGACCGCTACAATCTCAAGTGGTCGGCGGCGCCGGACAACGGCGAGCGCATCGACTACTACGACATCAAGTGGTGCGAGGCCAAGAAGTACACAGGCAATCACTGGGAGGTGCAGGACAACACCTGCCAGAACAAGCAGGAGGGCAAGCAGGACACGTGGATCAGCAATCTCTATCCGGACACGTTCTACAAGATCACCGTCAGGGCGCACAATATCCTCGGACTGGGCCAAGCGTCCAACATGACCATCAAAACGACCAGAGGTAAGTTTTTCTTGTAGAATGTTTCTCGCTTCATTGCAACACTTTTTATTATTATTATTATTATTATTATTGGGTTTTTTTTCTTCCTAAAAATTTTATTCATTGTTATTATTTATTCGCGGATTAATCAATGTGCAAACGTAACGCTAACGTTCGCTATTGCGAATGTTGAAAACAAAAAAGTAAGCTAAATTTCAATTTTTATATGTGGGAGAGCTACATGTTTTCTTTTTTTGTATCATTTATCCCTATAGAATCTGCGAGCTTTGTAGTGGACGAACGGATTACACATGGCGGAGCCAATAATGTCCAGCTAAACGCCTGGGTGATCGCCAGCGGCAGCTTACTTGCGATCTTATCTAGAGCATTTTAAAGAATTTGAGACGCGAAAACTACGATACACACAAATACACAAAAACACATACATTTACGCGTATCAAAAAAAAAAAATACACCTACACGATACACCAGACAAGATGACAATATTATGTACACATTTACATAAATAGTTAGATATGCATACGTGCAACGAATGTATAAAAAGACTATTATTAGGTTTTCTCTTGTATCCATAATACTGCCGATCAGCGGGAGTGATATTGCCCGCTCTTCACTTCCTAAAAAAAAACAGAAAAAGAAAACAATAAGAATAAGAAAAGTCGATTTCATTTGCTCTTAGAGCGAGTAGGAGATATTTTGCAAGAGAGAGACTCTCGACGCCTTTTTTTCTTTCTACATTTTCCGCGATAGAGAGAGAGAGAGAGAGGGAGGAGAGAGAGGCAAACTCAATTACCATTCATCGATTACTTTAGGTTTGCCGTTGTTCGAGATTTATGGTATACACATTCCGTATAAGAGCTATAAGGGAGAATGAAAAAAAGGCAAATGGAATACGAATAGGTTTTAGTAGTTGCTCGGGAGTAAAGAATATAAAAAAAAAAAAAAATAAGTGAACTAACGTACTGGTACGTTTCCGTAACTTTTTCATCCTCTTCCGTTTTTTCTATCGTTTTACGCGTACAATATATACGAAGTATACAGTCGCGTTTAATAATCGTAATATGTCGATCGAGATTGATGCCTGAAACATTGCCAAATGCCTAGAATTTAATGTTGTATAGGTATTTTTAGATTAAATACGTATTGTCATAAAATTCCACAATGTCTTCGATTAATTACTATTATTATTATTATTTGGTAGATCTAGTAATATTATTAATCTCAGGTACAAGATCATGAATACAATGTAATTACATTTTTCTCCCTCATAATTTTAAGTTACCTCTAAAAATGCGCCTTCTGGGTTGTATCTCATTATTGTGTCTAACTATTCTATTATTTAATCTAAAAATTAATTTTAATTGTGTGTCTATTTTCTTTATTCAGTTCATCGTTGAAAGTTAAAAAAAAAAAGAAATCTCAATGTTTGCTTGCTACGTGGAAAAAAAGCAGCGATATAATCTCATAATATGTCATAAGTAAAATGCATGATCTGTTAATTTTTTTGCCTTTCAAACGATTACATGCGAGTCTATCCATTTAATAGAGCTCCGTATGATTTGTCCCAGCAGACGGGGTATATAAAAAAGAAATCAATGGACACTTGGCGTCTGTTATGGGCTTCCTATAGTAGTGGGCTCTTGTATTGTCGTTACAGTCGAGCAATAATACTTGAAGATACGAATCGCGCGGGCAATATTCTGTACTATGTGTGTCTGTGCTCTATGTGTCTGCCAGTCGCGGCGATACTCGACGAATAAAATCGATATTACCGTTTGATTTTATTACGTCAGACCCATCTCTCTCTCTCTCTCTCTCTCTCGCACGCTCTTTTTCTCTTTAATTAGCGCCAGACGCATCGGGGCAAAGAGAGTTAGAGGGAGAGAGAGGGAGGACTCCGCGTGCTCTATTTTGCATAATTGATATCGTTGCTTTATTTTCACGTGCGTCCGAATCATTCGGGGCTCTATTTTGTCTGTGTGTCTGTATGGCTCTATACCTATATATCTTGCTATTATTGCGTTTGAACTTTAGTTTATTATGAACACGTCGGTTTATTTTATAATACATAGGAGTATAATATATACAATTTTAATGTGCGTTGTGCATGTGCAGTGATGAGTAAATATATTATACGTAGCGTTAATATTAAAGAGAAAAAAAAAAAGGATTAATAAATGTGCATCGCTATTTTGAATGAATTTACTTGAGAGGTATTTATATAAAACGAATTAAACATTGTAAATACGATGATAAATATAAACAAAAGACAGAGTAAAAGTAGAGAGAAAATAAAAACGATGTAACAAGAAAAAGTAATCGAAAAAAAATATACGACTTCAGTATCATTGAAACATGACGCAATGGGGTGGCGCTTGGAAGTCGATTCCAAGCACGACATGGACACGCTGGTGCGTTGTAATCGATTTCCTCGATCGTCTCCGAGTTGTTCATTGATTAAAAAACACACGCATATATACAGTACCATTTTTATATGTAATAACATAGCAGAAAAAAATCTATATCGCAAACTTACACACGGAGAGCATCCGATGACAAAAATAAAACATAAACTGCGTGAAAAAATGGGTAAATATCAAACATTCAAAGAACAATCAACTTACTGAACAAGCAAGCTTTAGCCTTTATTAGATTAATCTTTTATCGAGTTCATTGATTATAACAACACCACGCATTTGATGACTAGTTTTTTTTTTTTATATAATTTAACAATTCATGTGCCATGTATAACTATTAAAACGCTTGTAATTCTCACTCGTGTTTATGACTGGCCTCGGAGAAATCGTTTTTTAGGCTCTTGCGCTGCTGGGGCGTAATGAAAAAGAAAAAGGGTGTAATTAAGTAGAGTAGTCTCTTTCTCTCACTCTTTTATTTTCCTCCAGAGTTAAACACACGTATACACATTATACATACACGTTATTTATATATCTGTATAGGAGTCTACTAACAATCTCTAGCTTTTGCGTTACTTTTCTCAAACTTGCCGTTCATTCACTCGCTTCTCTCTCTCTCTCTCTCTCTCTCTGTGTCTGCGGGTCTTTCAAACTGTCGGGAAATGCTTTAAGTGTGCTCTCTGTGTGCGTATGTGTGTGTGCCGAGTCTCTGTATAACTGCAAGCAGTCGAGTGTATATATATGTGCGATGTGCGTTTCTATTGCTTTTTTTCGCCTTCTCTTTCTTTGCTTCAATTCAGACAACTTTTTGCGCCTTTAGTCATGGTGCAGTTTTATACTACTATCCCATATAGATTGGCTCGTTTTCTAATAGAACAGCAAAAACTATGCGCTTAAGGGAAGATACGTTTAATCAATGGTGCTTTTATATATTACGCGAAGGAGTAATTGATTGTTTTCCGTTTAGTTTTTTGTATGTTATACCGATCGAAACTTTCTTCTCCCGCATACTTCTTTTTAAGTTTTTATTCATTATTATTTTTTTTTTAATTAAAACGACTGCGCTCTCTCTTTCGCGTTCCCTCTTCCTCTCTGCACTCGAATGACATAAATGATCTCGTATTACGTAAATTTGTACAATCACGCGCGCTGTCGCATTATTGTGTATAATAATTTCGAGAGAGTACGTGTTTGGTGATGTATAAGAACGGTAAACCAAGTACCAGTACGTTTTTTTAGCTCTAAATACGTCTAAGTGTATTATTACGTACGTGTGAGGTCAAATGAAATAGCTGTCAATGTCGATGTCCTGTTTGTTATTTTTTGTCGCTCAAGTACACTCGAGAGAAAATTCTCCCACTTCTCATCTCACGTACCATTGTGCTCATCGTCATCACCACCAAGCATCGTACTTACTACATAATAAATATATATCAATTTTTTTTCATTATTTTTTATTTTTACATTGTCTCGAAGCGCGTGTGATAGCCTCGCACTAACCATTTTTACATATTTTACGATATAAATCGATTAACGATTCTCGAGCATGTGTCGAGATCATTTTTTTTTTTTTTTTTGCAATGTCGAATTTAATTTTTCGCCGAGCCGTGTGCTAATGATTCATTGTGTTTGTTTTATCAGGTACGTCGGGCAACGCTTCGGTACTGCATCATCAAGGCTCGCTGATATCGAGCTCGGCGATAATTGGCATCGTCGTGGCGATTCTTCTCATACTGCTGCTCATCATCGATGCTGTGCTCTGCTGCACTTGCAAATCTGGTATGCACGGTTTTTTAATTTATCGATTGCGCGATATTGTTATCGTTTAAAATTTTTTTTTTTGTTCAATTAAATCAATCGATTTTCCGTTGCCAACAGGTCTGATTTATTACTTCTGCGAGCTGTCGCGTAGGAAACCGATCGACGAGGAGGACGCCAAGTTAGGAAGGTAAGCGTCGTTCATTTTTTTTGCATCGAAATTCATTTCATGATTCTTTTTGAAAGTGTAATAATTTGTTGATTCAAAACAAATATAACTTCATTAATATCTCATTGTAAATGCATTAAAAATATATAATATCACAAAGAATTTTGTCACTGTCAGAAATGCACATTATACGTACTGAAACGTAATTTCATTTCGTTTCTGCCAGAGACAGAATTTAAAAAATCAAATACATCTTCATCATCATTTAATTATGTAAATGTATATCTCTAAAAAAAACCACCCACCAAAAATATGCACGAACAGAAAGACATTCACTTGCAAAAAGCAACACGCATTTTTTTTGTATATACATTGTAATATGTTCATTAAAATTCAAGCTGCCTCATTTTTTGCGCTCTCTTCACTTCTCTTGACACTCTATTATTATATGTATGTGCTTTTGGCAAGTTTGGATTGCTATCGTGTCATATATATATTACATTATAAATACTTCATATTCATACACATACTTTTTCCGTTCTCATGGATTTTCATTTGATTTATTCACGTGCACATTTTAAAATACGTACCTTTGTATTTTATTTTTTCACACTATTACTTTCATTCCACTCCATATTGTACGTATGTTCAATTGTCAAAAAACTCTTCAATCAATTTTTTTTTCCTTTTCATATATTTTTGATTTATTATTTTTCTTTCGGTATTTGTTAATTTTTCGTTTTTCGGGGCATGTGCCTTTAATGTTATAATTTTATAATTATTTTTATCCTGTTTACCTTCTATGTTTCTATGGAAATTTTTCGTGGCACATACTATCTGATTTGATTTTGTAGTCTTTACGGTTGGCGTTTCCCATTGCCGTATTGTGACCAAAAATTGGCCAATGTCGCCGGGGTTACGGCCATTCAAGATTCGGGTAGTGGAAAAAGTACCATAACACTGGTCAAGCATACCTCCATGTAAGAAATAGAGAGAAATTAATCATCGAAGCTTTTATTATCGTTGAGTTTTGATTTTTTTGTTTCGTTAATTTCTTCTTACTTCAAAGTTTGATGAATATATCAGTTGATTTGCGGTTGTGACAAAATTTGAAAAATATATTATTAATAAAATAAAAACGGTGAGCATGAAGCACATCGTTGGCTTATGTAAGATCATCAGCATGACTGATTTTTTTGTTTTTAATTTTGAGCAGCTTTGTCTCGTTGAGCGTAAAGTGTAATTGCAATTAGTAAATAAAATGAAAAGAAACTCGTGTGCATGGAATTTTTGCTCTTGTATATCACTATAACTACTATTCATCTCTGCCTGTCTTTCTCTTTTTCTCTCTCTCTCTCTATTTTCCATCGCGCCTGTCTCGCTCGTCGCCGTCGCGACGAGAAATTCATTCGCGACGTCACACGCGCGACAAAACTCGCTCCTCTTTCATTCGAGCAAATAATATAAGTCGGTCATGACTCAACTGCACATCACAAAGTTTCGTACGATATTTCTTTTTTTCATTCGGCGATATACATACGTCACATTTCATATACATAATTTGCCAATATTTGTCGACTCATCTATTTTCCATCATCGCTCGTAATTGAGAGCTTTTAATAGACGCACGTTTTCTTTCTTTTTCTTTTCTGTTTGCTCTACGTACTGCTGTTTATTAAATACACTTAATTGCTTTAGTTTCACTTCATCTTTAATCTGTAAATTAGGCGTTGTATTTAAGGATTTTAATGATCACGAGAGTTTACGTAGCTCGTAGTGGATGTTCACATGATAAATACATCGTCATCATCATATCGTCACATCATTGATTTTAAAAAATAAATAACAAGAATTGAAAAAAAACCCCGCTTACTTACCCACTTACGTTGATTTTCTTCTTCTTTCCCACAGAGACGAGAAGGAGCCGCTCCGAGAGGAGAAAATGATAACGTCGATCATCGACACGAACGGCGGCGCCAATGGCGGCATCACGACCACGACAACGACGACGACGACCAACGGCCCGACGGTGATGACCAACGGCAACGGCAGCCTCGGCGTGCGCGAGTCCTCGGTGACGTTCGACGGCAAGCGCTCCATCTCCAAAACCGGCTTCGTCGGCAAGGACTCGGCCGTCTAGATATTCGTCCGACGTACTAGATTGTAAAATTTCACTTCGATCTCCGACGACGGCACGGGCAGCAGCAGTAGCTCCTCCGACAACAGCTCCATCGTAGTTAATAATAATGATAATGATCACGCACGTCTAGTCGTCCTAACACTGCAGCAGCGCAAAACCTTCACCTACAACTTGAGAATCATCCATTCGACGGTGTGAACGCGCACAATGATAAAGAATAGAAAAAAAAAACAAAATCAGAAGCGAATTAAGCAAATGTGAAAGAGAGAAAGAGAGCTTAGATACATTCACAGAGTGCAGTAGTAATTTTTTAAATAGACAAAAAAAAACACCGAGACAATATCTATAAAAAAAAAATAACACTCTGAATTGTTATTAGTGATAGAGATGAAAGCAAGAGTGTGAGAGAGCGTGAAAGAGTGCGAGAGAAAGAGATAATTGTGTACAAAATTAAAAATCCTTACTGTATACTCCTTGTACGATTCCTTTTTCCTTAGGGTAGATAAAAATAATAAATACGTGCTGATTCGTTCGACGAGCGTTACAAACCGTTTTCTCGTGTGACGTTAAGTTTGGAGAAGATTTGAATTACTAAAAAGAAAAGAAAAAAAATATCATCGACCCCCTAATCGATCTAGTACGTCGGCTTTTAGTGCATTAGAGATATCCGATTCTTCACTTTATTCCCCCTGATTCTATCTACGACCCTTCATTATCATCATTGTCATTTCCTCACAAAACAAAACGTGTAAATATGTCTATCTTGAATAAATATATTTATATATATGTATATTCGCATTACATATATATAGTATTATTAACTTTATCATAAAAATATTTGTATGCTCGAGCGTTCGAACAAGAAAAGAAAGTTGATTATTCTCGATGCAAAATAGCCTCTAAAGATTTTATTGGTACTTAAATGGTTAACGCATGCATTTAATATCTGTTACATTTTTAATCATTATGTATATGACAATCGGTCAACATTTTTATTTTACTTAAGCTTTTACTTAAGGTTCCATGACTTGATTGGCCTGCTTATTATTGTAAATCCCGCATCGATCGAAGGTATTTTTGATCATGCGAGCATGTGTGCATGTGTAATTGAAACGAAAAAAATTTAATCTTTGAAAAAAAAGTTAAAGAGTATCGATTACTTTTAAAATAAGTCAATTTTCGGGTATTTTATTTAGTATAAACACAGTTTATAGCGACGATTTTACTATAAATATAATGCTTTTCGCAAAAAGAGATTAAAAAAAAAAAAGAAATGAAAAAAAAGTTATAAATTTGTGATATAAGTCTTTTGTAAATGCTTGTAAACGTTATTTCCTTAGTTTTAAGAAAGAAGAGAGAATGAAAAGAAATAAAATATGAACAAAATTGAATGATAAATAAAGAAATGTCAAGTATTTCTAGAAAGAAATTCGACAGATAAATATTTATTATATTAAATAAAATATTGTAACGACATAACTATGTACTCGCGCCGAGGGAAGGTCGATCGCTATTTTTTATCGCTATTGATCTTTCCCCTACAGAATAATGTAGCTTTTTTACGTGGGAAACAAAAATTATAATATTATATATTTACATATATATAATTGAAATATAACGTCAGATTTTTGCCAAATATAGAAAATAATAGATCATGTCACCTAACCGAAGTGTTGACGAATATTATAATACAATACAGAAAATGGGCTCACTGTAAAAAAATAAAAATTGGTTTTCTACATAAGATACACGCGAAATACAGCTGAAAGTTCAAAAGAGAGTATAAAAGTTAAAGTATATTAGATACATCTCACAAGAAGTAATATATAGATAATTGACTCTTTTTTGAATTTTCAACAAAGTACTAGGAGTTTATCAAAGCAAAAGTTTTTCCCGCACAATCAGAGCTTCGTTCATTTTGTCAATGAAATAAGTAAGCAGCGCGGAAAAAGTTCTCTAAAAATATAATTGGCTCTAACTTGAGGAACAAATAAAAAATGAACAAAATAAGATTCAAAGTAGCATTTGTGTAGCTTTCCCAATCATGAAAATGGAAAGGAAAACTCAATCACAATTTTAGTCATAAGCCAACCTTAGATTTAAGGCATATTTTTTATGTATGCTTTTTCTGTATGCGCCACGATGAAAAAAAAAAGTAAAGTTTCAATAAAGGAAAATTATGATCAATGATCATGACCACAAAAAATGAGTACACTTATTATTTCTTATTTTTCCTGATGATTTTCTTATAAGAATTTTATTATCAACTTAAAATGTACAACAGAGCCTTGCGAATTATTTTGTTAAAAATATCGCACGGCATCGCCAGAGAATGCAAACAATGACGAAAAAAGGGAGCACGAAACCTGTCGTTTGCTCTCCCCATAATACCCCACGATCAATACTTACATACTAATTTAATATATAAATTATATTTCATATCAAACGCAATGAAGCGAAAGTAGTTGCACAATTAAAAACCCAGCCTTGAGTATGATTGCAATGAAAAGATTTATAATTTTCACAAATGCCCTTTCTTATCATGAGGGCGGCACTTAACATGATGCACACTGTTCGTTTCTTATTATTTATATTTAAATTGAGTATATTCAATTATGTTACTATACCTAATACTTAATTACAATTGTTCATCGCTTAAAAAAAATTTAAATCAGCTCGATCACGACTTTTTGCGTTAGATTATGTATAGCTTTGGCCAAAGCATCGATGAAAAAGCATCTTTAGAATTATTACGACCCTACATGGAACAGCGTGTAAAATGCGTCTTTGACGCTAAAATGAGTGCTTCGGAAATGGTATTACAATATGATAATATCTATAATTTATAAGAAGTTTAAAAAGTAAAACTGGCACTGTAATGGTTATTATCCTATGCTACATATTATGACATGGCTTATATCCAAGACACAGACTCTCATTTAAATTAATAATTACAAATACAATTATGCATGTAACTATAAATATAATTATAATTTAAATTATAATTCCACCATTTCAACAATTAACGTCATCAAAACTATGGACGGAATTATTTTTATCACACTTCGATTCCATCGTTGGACGATTTTCCTTTTTTGTTGAGAATTGATTCTGTGTTTAGGACTGGTGCTTGAGTCCGGGTATGCCATACGTAGACCTGAAAGTTGATATTGGTAAACATAAAACTAATTTAACAAAATTTTTATTTCAAATAGAAATTGAGTTTTGAAAGCTTGAAAACACGAAACCTATATTACCGACCGCGTATTACATTATCAGTTATAAGTAAAGGCTTTGAATCCAATTTTTAATGGTAATAGATATTTTATATTGACGCGTATGGTTTAATTTCAAGCATTTACACACCTTTGTACAGCCATCGGCCAATCCTTCCAATTCATCTCTAGTCGTTACTTGTTTAAGTATCTCGCTTTCTTGAAAACCACTTTGAATGTCATAGGCAAACAAAGCTGTTTTCTTCTCTAAAATTACTTGTAAATTAATGCCGAATCCAGCCATGTCAATAGGGAAGGGTCTGTCTGGTTTCCAGACAGCATTGAAGCCAGTAACTTTTCCTGTTGCCTTATCACAGATTGGTCTTTCGACCATTAGACCACCAACAAGACCCACAGGCCATACACCAACCCTTTTCACTTTTGCTACCTACAAAAAATAGATAAATGAGCGTAAGCTTATGCATAACAAATGTAATATAAACAATTATTCTTACTTCTTTGAATAAGTGTCTAGAGTAGGTATTGTCGTCATCTGCAAAAAAGATGACTCCATTGTTACTCTCATTCAGGTTACTTCTAATCCATCTTAGAGCAGCATTTCTTTGCTCTACTCCTCTTGGCTTTTTCCAATTAGGATCATGTTTGCCAAGTTTGTAGTTTGAGGGAGTTGGCGCATTTATGTGAGTATATCTAAGGCCACTCTGCGCTAAGAAATTAGTAACTAGAGGAGTCTTCTTTGGAGAATCTTCAACAACTATCCAATGGAAATTTGGTACAAGCAAAAAGGTCTGCGACAAACGTGTAAGCTCTGCTTTCTGTACAGGTCTGGTAAAAGTAGGGGTTATAGCATAAATGACAGGCCCATCATTCGGTTTGCCCAACTTGTTGAAGTCTTCGACTGCGTCGCATAGCTTTGCACTGGTGGGCATTGGCATATGTACCGGTTCCTTGATATTCTGGCAGGCTATCGAGGTAGCTCTGATCGCCTCCAGAGAATCTCTGGTCATTTTGCACAACTCTTCCTGTGCTTTGCAATCTGAATGAGAAAAAAAAATAGAACATGAGGTAAGTTTTAAAAATAAAACAGATAAAACAATGAGCGTAGAGAGTCTGCAGGATGTATCTCTCTCTCTCTTAGCTAGAAATAATTAATTCATTCAAGGACGCACGTTAGCGTAAAAATTCTTGCAATTCCTTTTTCTCTCTCTCCCTCTTCCTCTCGTGTCATATAGGATGGTAAAATCACGAAAGCGTAGAAACTACTGATTATTAAAACTGGCGTTTGACATGATTCACAAAGAGAGAGCGCGTGCCGGTAAACACTTGACAGTTTTGCGATAGTTTCAAAGAGTGCATTGACTTTTATAATGCAAAAGCGAAAGAAAGAAAGAGAGAGAGAGAGAGAAAACGGTACATATAGTTCGCATGATTCACGATGCACTCGTGAGCGTAGCGTCCGCGGAGCAGACGAATAAAAATAAATGCGTTTTTGCGTTCTAACACTCGCGAGCGACAAAAAAAGAAGAGAGTTCGCAGTCTCGTTTCGTGAATGAAAAAGAGTCGCGCGACCGCTTCTCGATGATAATTTTCGAATCACTCACTGCTGTAATTCTGCCATATGACGAAAATGAAGCCGAGCGCTAGCAGGGTCCTGCTGAGGCACTTGTAGTAGCCGGGCCTCAGGCAGAATCTGCCTCCGTTGAGCATCATGTCGCCGCCGCCGCCGCCGCCGCCTCCGGAGGACAACGACAGTGGATGATGGTGATGATGACGACTGCTTGCGCTGGTTATGTGATGATAGACGCGATGATCCTTCATGCCTCGACTACCACTACTCGTGACGAGCCGCTGCGCCTCGCAATCTTCCGTCTCGTTGCTGTCGTCGTCCTCGTTGTTGTCGTCGTTGTAGTCGTCGTTGTTATTACCGTTGATGTTGCCGCCGCCGCCGTATCGCGAGACCATAATTCAGCTCGACGACACGAGGAGACGACGTCCATAATCCAACGGTGGGAGCCGCCGCCGAAAAAAACCCCCGCTGCAGACACACGTATGTTGTCCCTTGCGCGATGACGATTATTATATAGTCACGGGCGCACAGTGCGCGTGATAATACGGATGACACAAACAAATCGCTCTCGGTCGATTGTTGTCACGCGCCAGAAAATTGGAGACCTTCACATTTATTTCAACGGCACCAAACTCACTTTTAGCAGCTAGCAGCAGCACACGAACACCGCCGCGCGCACTGTATCGTACACACACACTGTGCGCACGCACGCGATGCTGCGAGACTTCTGCCGTAGTATCAGCCGCAGTGTAACACAACGAAGTGTATGGAGAAACTGACGACGACGACGACGACTGTGTATAGAAGAGTCAGCACTGCTACTACTCCAATAGCAGCAGCGAGTGGCGCGCGGAGCACAGTTCGGGCCGCGACTGACGCGAAAGCAGTGTAAGACACAGCCGCGCGAATACGTATATCACACGCATGCGGGCCCGATGACGATAATGACGACGATGCTGAAAGTAATTTAGTTCGTGTACGTGCCTCTAATTTACAAGATATACGAACGATTACGAAATTTTTCACAGAAAAATTCCAGTATCTCAGTTTCGTATAGAGTCGACGTCAGTTTAATTTCATTTCGTCTATCTTTTTTGCTATCGTAGATAATTGTGGGCCCACGCGATTGCTCGTTTGAAAACACTAGCTCTTGTTGAAGAAGGTCGAAAAAAGAGCTAAACCCCAACTAGACGCATGTATCGCCATAAACATAAATTTTTAACAAAGTGTAAAATTAATTTATAGTAATGAGTGAACCTTGCTAACAACTGTAAAAAATTTTTATATTTGTAAAATGCACGCGTAATCTATTTTAACTGTCGACACTTAAGAAAAATAAAGATAGTGTAAATGATTCTCTCGAGGCCAACGCACTCAAATATGAAAAAAAAAAAAAAATGGCCCGCACGCTGATAATGTCCAAACGAGCGCGTCCATATGGTATAGATATGTTTACTCGCGCGTCCGCGAATACTCGTCGCCTTTACATCGATAGAATCGTCAATCTGTATATATAATACAGTCGAGTCAGTTATCGTGTGTACTGGCGGATGATTTCGTCTTTTAATATTGTATATAATACACACAAACCGATCGACCTCTCTCTCGCATATGGGTGAACTTTTGTATACATGAAGATATTACCGATACGCCGCATGAAAAAGTTATAACGCGTTGTTGTGGTATACGACCAATCGATGCCGCGGTACGCGGGGGTTCGATTGACCAATATATGCTTCTCCTTCAATTTTCTATGAATCTCGGGCGCGACTGTTGAATGTTTCAACGAGGTCAAGAATTTTATAACTCGTTCGATTTTCACATTTATTTTTACATTTTTATAACAACATTTAATTTACTTTTCTGTCGCACACGCGCGTATGCGAGTCCCGCGGAGAGCGAGTTCACGCAGAACAGGATGTGGAACGTCCTGTCGCGATATATAAAGAAATCTCTTTCGTCGCGTGCACATACACGAAGGAAAAAAAATTAGAGAAAAAGGGGGAGAAAGGAAAGATAGAGAAAGAAAGAGAGAGAAAGAGAGAAAATGTTAAAGAAGAGCTTGCAGCTTGCATGAGTTACGCTCAGCTTGGGGTACAACAACTATACTGCAAGCTGCGCGAATCGTGCATTATCATTCATCAACGTTCGTTGTGGTGTGTGTGTGTGTGTGTGTTGCCTATATTACGCGCAGCACCCTTGCATTATAAAACCCGCGGCACAGCCTCTACTTATATGGATATCAAGGTGGTGCGCCTACCATAGTCGACTACTTGGCGTCGTCTACTCGTATAAAACATAAATATCGATCCTGCATCGAGGGCGCGGGTTAAACGGAGCCCCGCGTATACGTATATAGGCGAACTTTTTCACTCGCTGCATCCGCAGTGTGTGTATATATACACGCTGTTGAAAAAAAAGCGCCCCGGCGCCACACAGGTTTTATACGCAAAGTCGACCTTTTATACGATGCACCTATATACGTTCCAGTAGCTCTACGTGTGTAATTAGACAATTTAAAGTTAACACAATGGATACGCGTGATTTTCAACAATAATATTTATCGTCGCTTTAAAAGTCATCATCTTCTTGTCTCGTGGGATCGATTAGATAAGATTATTGTATTATTATTGTACGTACGAGTTCGATCCGAGATTTTTATCATCTATTTACGGGTGCAACACGTATTGTACGATTTCGAATCTCGTTTGAAAATTGTAGAAATCTCTCTTTATAAAAGTAAGAAAAGTAATGTATAAGTCTGCATCGGCAGAAGCAAAAGGAGCGGCGTCCGCGCGACTGACCTACTGCTGCGAGCCTTCGGACTGCAGTGCAGTGCTGCAATATCATCGTCGCGAATCAACGTATACATATACATACATACGCACGCAAGCGAGCGGCGAGCCTCGTGCACATCTTTAATGCATGTGTGCGGCGCGGGTACTTATGCACGGCGTTATACAATAGCATGGCGGGCTGGAAGATCAATCGTCGGTGGACTGTACGTACGTACGTATATATAGGCAGCACTCGATATTAGAGAAAAGAGTATATATATATATATGGGCAATTACTTTGAAAGCGTGTCATTATCGCGCCGCTACTGCTGCTACTGCTGCTGTGCATGAATATACGCGCACAAACACACACAAACGATGTTCGCGTTATCCGATTGCAGAGTCGTGTGCCGACTGATTTACAAATGGATGTAGTGTATACGTAGTAAAGGCGGCGTACCGTTTCTCTTATCGATGCTTCCGATGTACTACAGCATTTACGTGTCTGTGTGTGTGTGTTCATAGAACACTCGATATTGTTGTACGCACTTTTTTTTACGACAACGAACTATATATGTGTGCGATTAAAGTCAGCGCCACGATTGTATTCCGCATAGTACAGATTCTCTCTGTGTATACATAGCGATAAATCGCGAGATCATTGCTCCGATGTTCTTCAGCGATTTTTGCAGAGAAAGAAATCGATCATTAGCGCGCGACCGTAATGCTACTAAAAATTCTCGACAGCTTACGCTTCGCTGGTTGAAACCTTGGAAATTTCGTTTAAATAAATTATGTAATTAACAGCCGATTTATGTGCAAGATCGATATCGAGTTAGATGTACAGTTGGTGATGACTCCAACTGTGTTTGCCATCTGGGCTTCGCGCGATATTCCATCCGACTTCTGCGTTCACGAATAGAACGTAATCGCGCGCGGTTCGATACTCGCGAAAAGTAAGCAGTGCCGCGCTTCGTATATTTTTAATCAAGAGCCGAAGCAACAAGTACTTTCGTCGATTTAACGACCGATCTTGAAAATAACGATAGCCTCGCGATAGCGATCGCCTCATTAATTTCGTGTATATCATAATAAACATTGCACGCACGACGCGATGATAAATATCGATGGAAAAATCGTCGAGTACTTAATTATCAAGCAGCGTAATGATGAAAAAAAGAGATGAGATAGTCGTTGAGCGGCTTGTATCGATTTGGCGCGCTGCTAAATTACGATACCGACTGCCGAGCGTTGAGAAATTTTCAGATCGGTAAGTATCGAACTTTTTTTTTATGAACGGAGACAGTTCGCCGTTAGATGGACTCCGTATGGCTGTAATACTTCGAGCGCGGTGCGCAGAAGCCAATGGCAATGACCAATTTATGTCTAAATTGTTTTTCTTCTTTCGGCTTTACTTGAAGATTTAAAATTTATGAAGAAATACCGATTTCGAAGTAGTTTGTTATGGATGATTTATTCAACGCGTTTGCGATTAGCTTTGACGATTCGCTCGCATATCGATTTGTACCAAATGCACAAAATTACTGAGAAATTACTGAAAAAGTTCAGGGTTTTTTTAAGTTTAATCTTTATATTAAATATTTTCAAAAATCTTTTTTTTCTCAATTTTGCATTCTAAATTAATCACTGGACAAATTTTTTCGTTGTAACATTTTTATAATGTAGTTTTACTCGTGTTTAATAGCCGTACCAATTTGCATTTTATTTATTTTCTCAAATAACTCTCAATTTCCATCTCCCATTATGCGATAAAAAGCCATCAAATATGATAATACCATTTTCAAAATCTATAAAATTACTCAAAGATTTCAAAATGCAGCCATAAAATTGTGCAATTAATCGTTTCATTTTAGATAACTCACAATGGCAGAAGTTTCATAATTCATCTGAACCGTGGGACCAGCTGTGAGAGTGCAAGGATTTGCAGTTCGGAGAATCATTAAAAGAATCAAGCGTCTTTCTTTTACTTTGAATAAGTACCATTTAGCGTCATAACTGAAAGAGTAGTTTTAAACATAGTTATTTTTCGTATGGTTTAATTTTCGACCTATAGTCTAAATACCAATCCTGGTTCAAACGATCACAGGCGTTCATCAAGTCTTCACTTGAATAAATTAAGTATAACAGAATCATCATTGTAGCAATCATTGTTGCAATCATTTTTAAAGCATACAATTTGTTATTTTCGAGTACAACTATACTCTAAAAAGTAATAAATAAGATCATTTAACTTCAAATTTTTTCACATCAAAAAATGAAACTTGAAATTAAATAATTTATAAAAATTTATCTGATAATTAAAAAACATACCCAGAATCCTGCTAAACTTAATTCCGAGATTATCAATATTATGATAATGAAATACTTCATATTCGTTTGTTTTTGCAAAGCTTTGAATAACCTGAAATGATTAATCACTGTGGTTAAATTACAGTCGATTAATACTCTTGTTATTCTTTATGAGAAATCTTAAGTATTGACTCTTGATTTCGGTTTTAAAATCATAATTACTCAACTCGATTGTCTCTTGGTGTCTTTGAATATTAGTGCGTATTCTTTTATTAATTATTTCCATTATTTGTTCATTTTGCAAAGGTTCAGAAGTCAATTCCAATTTTTCATGCATGTGCACCATATCGTGTCTGAAATAAAAATAATTTCAATATTAAAAATGAACCATAAAAAGATTTCGTCCATTTCGGTGGTCAAAGTTATACTCAAGTTCACGATTACCCTATGATTTTAAACATTCCCACAATGAATTTTGCCACAGAAATTTGAAAGTAATTAAATGTACTGATTGTAGCAATGCATATACTAGTAAGTATCAGTGTATAACAAAACACTATCCAGTAGTAGTTTTCAACGATGGAAGTAAAATAAAAGGGGAGGCAGACGCCTTTTTCAACTGATTTATTTTCTGATATCCAACTTACTATTGAATATTTTATAATTGGTTCCAAACTATATCCAAAAAAACTAAAAGTTAATAGGCCTGTGGAAAAAATGTTTGTAAATTAAAATAGAAGTCCCAGAAAGCCGATCTTTCCTAAAATTGTTTTTATAATTAAATACATAAAGTTCAAGGTATAGTATTTTAAAAACTGATACAATAACAAAAGTCTTGTTAAGGAGATAACATTTTTAAATTACAAGAATTTGGAAAAGAGACAGTGAACTTGAATGAAAAATAGTTTTCATAAATAATAGTTAAAGTAAAAAAATTAGCACAAACCAACGTAAAGTACAGATATGATAAAACCAATTCTAGCTTGCTCCAAAATGATCTTTTTCTCTGTGCAGTTTTTGCATTTTTTCCACATCATTTCAACTTTAATCAGAACGGCCATCGACTATGATAATAATTTATTAAAAACAGAGTTTTAAGATGCAGATGCATATGACGTAGTACCTCATTAGTCGTATTAATAGTAGACGCGTAAACCAATAAAAATCCAATCATAAAAATACAACCATAAGTTGCATCGAATATATCATTATTACTCATATTTTTGTTGATGAATCCAGATAGAAGTACAAGCACCTGAAATGAGATAGTAACAATTTATTCGTGCAGGGCGATATATTTTGATACTAAAATAAAAAACATTTTGAAAATAACCATGACGTCCGTAATTAACTTACGAGGAGAGCATTCCACCTTTGAAAAAATACACTTTTTGAAATGTGGAAAAACATAATTTTTCACTTTAAACAACTTCAAAAATGTGTTAAATGTGTAATTGCACCACAATAGGCTTAGTATTCCCAAATATGACGCACGATTTTTTTTTTCAATCTAATTTTTTAACCCTTTTTCATTTCTATGGGATTAAAATGCAGACAGAGAGTGTCCTCGAGGTCTGTATACGAAACTCCAATTAGTTTAGTCAAAATAATTTTTGTTCATAAAAAATTTTGACTGACGTAAAAAATTAGACTTGAGAAGATCGAGAAAAATTATAAAAAAAAATTTTTTTGATTTCTTAATATTATTACGGGAAAACGGGTAAATAAAGATGACAAACATGAATAAGTAATCTCTTACACCCTGAACTAGAAAATCAGAAGATACGTAGTTCTTTTAAAATTGATATTATATTAAATAATTACCATATTAAGTATTATAAAAGCTGTCAAGCTGACCCCAATAATCCTTCCAAACAGCTGGACGATTTTATTCATGTCTGGGGAAAGACAAATCCATTTTAAAAGCTTGCGACAATAATAAACAAAAGATGATGGTGAATAATTTTTTTCGGAAATCAGAAGTTCAATACGATTCATCTTTTCGCTATATGAGTGAATTTGACTATTTTTATGATAATTTTAAGCTGAATCAATAATATCAAATAGTTTCAGAATATTTCATTGAGAAACATATTTAAACTGAACTTTGATAACTTTATTCTAACTTATATAGTTGAATAATCTCATTAATATATTTAAAGTTGAAAATGATGATTTTTGTGATCAAGACCGAATATATAATAATTTTCTTTGCATAATTCTCGTGTGAATTTTTTCTCAAGAAATGGCGACATAAGAAAATAAATTATTAAAACTAAATGTTTACAATTCTTTTGTGCATATTTTGAATCTTTAAAATAAAGATTACCACGATATGATTCGAATTATATTAATAATACGAAATATTTTTTACAAGATAGTACGTGCTATTTTATGGCCTTTGAAGATCTAATGGTAAGTAAACATAAGCAATCATAAAAATTATTGCAATATTATGTGACGTCCAGTACCGCCACTCAGTTTTTTTTGCCGTCATCGAACTATCGATAATATCGATCGATAATATCTCAGTTACCCACACAAGATCTATATCGATCCTAGATCATAGACTGCTTTCGTTACCGACCCAACTAAAATAATGTCACTTTTATAATTGCTAAATTAATTTTACTATTCTAAATTACTCTAAATGTGCATCATGAATTTAATATTGCTTTATTTTTTATTGTACATTAATATTGAGTTATGTAAACTAAAAGAAAAGAACTGCATAATATATTTTATCGATACAATATAATGTAAATAGTTAATCCAAGTGAAAAAATAGTAAAAAATAGTAATTATTACAGTAATGCAGAAAACAATTTTGAGTTTTGTTCTATACAACATTTACAATCTTAATTGATAAGTAGCGATTTTACCAGCACTTTATATGTCAGTACTTTGTTTGTATAAAAAAGCTCACTAGTGGCTTTTTTACTATACTTTCCTACAAGAGCTAATTGTGATATTTTAATATAGTTATAGTAGTTTTTATTGATTTTCTTCGATCAGGCGGGGCAGTTCAAGACCATGTCATACAGTCGGTGTGAAATATTACGTAGAATATTTTTAGTCGCTGAACCCGAAATTGTACGCAACGAGATATTTTTTTCGCGATATGGATTTTTTCCGTACAGCTTCAAACACATGGCGTTCGTGTACGTACTTTCTAATTTCGCTATAGCCCCACCTCCATCTCATCGTAGATGACTAGCTTACACGCATAGTCGAATCATTTCAGTGCTTACTGTGGCAACGCCGTGACGTGAACGTTAAATACAGATCGTTCCCATTGAATTAAGTAAGTGAGTTTCGACAAAAAAATAAAGTTTTAACATATTCAAGTGATCGTGTGTGTGTGTGTGTGAGAGTGAAAAACTATATATCACGATGCCGAAGGTCGTCGATAAAAAATTCGTTGGACAACACGAGGGACCAGATTATTTCAATATGAGCCCTGCTACTATAACGGACTATATAAATAGACATGATCCAAGAAGTAAGATTATTGAAGAGGAACAAAAAACATTTATCCGTAAACTCCGTGATTTAATCAACTTATGGGAGCCCCAACTTCATAATCTCCGGGAAGTTCTTTCGCGTAACGAAATCGAGCGTGATTTACTCTTGTATCCGATAACTTATGCAGTTTTAAGTTGTTCAGAGATAATTTGTTCAGAGATTGCTCATCTAAGAAAACGATTGATCGAACTCGTGATCGAGAGCGGTTACAAAGACGAGCCCGAACTGGACGAGGCAGGCAGGCCCGTGTTGCTTCGCGACACGCCACTGCTCCGGGCGGCCAAAATTGGATACGCCGGCTACGTACGTTTATTGTTTAAAATTTACGATCGCTTCGACGTGAATTACACCGACAGACACGGATACCCGCACTTCCACGCAGCCTGCCAGATGGGATGCGTCGAGGCGATCGAAAAATTTCTCGAGCTCGGCCAAGATCCCAACGTCCTCGTGGAAAAAACAGCCGCGGACGGGGGAGGATTATGGGAGACGGGTTGCCGGCCACTGCACTTGGTTCTGTACAAACATTACAGAACGAAAGAATTGATGGAGTTGCTGCTGAGAAACGGCGCGGATCCGAACGCGCAAAGAGAGGGATTTGGAGACGATGACAATGCACCTCTGCATATGATTTGCAAGTTGCACGATGTCGAGTTATTGGATGCGTTCTTCAAAATCAACGACGAACTGAAGCGAGAGGTGAAAGTCGACCCAAAGAATTGGGAGGGGCGGACACCACTGCAAGTGGCCATTTTGTATTACCGCCCGGAAATGGTCGAATATTTACTGAAGAATCGCAAGGCCGACCCGTCCAAGGTCTATTGCGCCTATCACCACGAATTCTGGAACGTAGAGGATCTGGGCGAGCACGATGAATTTTATTGGGCGTCCAGCGGACTCGCTATCATCGATACGCTAGAAAAATATGGATACGAAATAAATCGACGCGTCGCTGAAGAACTTAACGGAGATCTCGGAATGTCCGATGTGTATGGAAACTTGGCCAAACTCGCCGAAAATTGGTACGACCGCGAGGATTTCAGGAGAGAAGCGGAACGGATAATGGTCAAGCCGGGCCTGTCGCTCTACCGTCTGATAGAATTGCCATACGACGAGGCCAAAGAACTGCTCACGTACATGGAATACTGGAAATTTGCACGCTTGGAAGAATTGAATCAGCTGCCTCGACAGGATAGGGAAAATTGTATTGCACATCTGATTAAGACGATGTGTCAAGGATTTTTGGAACGGTGGGGGGTCTGGGATTTCGATCCCCTAGATTATGAATGAAAAAATCAACATTACGATATCATTGATTCCTTCACTAAACATTCGATAAATCAATCGTAGAAAAACAAAAATATTATCCTAGACTATCATCAGCAAAATATTTAAAAAAATTTACTAAATTATTCAATTAATTAAGCCTAAAAAGAAATTCTGCCAAGTGCTAACTGTAATGAATTATTAGCGTTTGGTAGCATTCATCGAGAATCTGAATTATCGGATTACTTGAAAATGAACACTGATGAAATCAACAAGCTCATAATATGAATTTTAAAATTACGTTTATGATTAATCTTATTTCAACACAAAATCGATATTGAAATTGTAGTTCTTTCTATAAATTTTATAACTGTACACGCATTCATTCGTCAAAAAATAAAAAATGTGCGTCTCGTAAATATAGCTAGTTTTTTTATTCTCCCTAGGCCTTGTGGTTAAAATTACATCAATTATAATTCTCAAGAAAAAAATCATGATTATTCAGAAAATTTATTAATGAACGTGGTATATTTTACGACTGCCTTTTGCATAAATCTAAATTGTACATCGAATACATAGGTCAACTTGCACAATGATTTACTGCGATGCTGGCACAGCTGCAGTGCTATGATGGAGATTTCGACAACTAATGCATATAATCGGTTGATGTTGCTTATGTAGACCTGACAGCTAATCATCATTGATTATGTGTGTACTTAAATAAGAGAGATCAGTTTGAATACAGAGATTTCACCGTTTAAGATCAATAAATGGATTTGGAATATGTACAGAACTTCTTTTTTTTACAGCCTAATTTTAAAAAATGACTAGGTCAAAAAATTACAATATATACACATTTTAACTCTAGACTGAATAATTTCGCACGTTTTCCAGATCTCTCAGAACCATGAGCAATGTTTGGCTCGTGTGCATGTATTGATCGTTCGTTTCCGGACTCCACTCAAATTTTTTCTCCAAATCCTCTATTTGAACCTCTACGAAGTTCAAGGTCGAGTCCACCCACTCTTGGAGGTTCTCGATGTGCTCAAGTAGACGCGACTTGCACTCTACCGAGACGATGGGTGCCTCGGGCTTGGGTGCCCAGGGTTCTTCCGATGACTCGAAGATCGACGACTGGCTGCTGTCGTTGAAGCCGAGATTCATCGACGAAGTAAGTGAAATTTCATTCTCGTCTTCGCCGAGAATTTCAATCAAATCATCATCCGACGTATTTGGCAGGTTATCGATCTTGGCGTTGACACTATTGTCATTTTCGTCTTTGATTGTTTTCAACGATGGTACCGGCTTGTTCTCGTACGACGGTATTTTGATATCGGTGCTGCTGTTTTCGTTATTGTCATTTCCGTCTTGGATCGTTTCCCACAACGGTACCGGTTTGTTCTCGTACGACGGTATTTTGATTTTACTCCAGCTCTTCGCCCAGAGATATAGTTTTGGGTGATCTTTATTTTGCGCTATGTTAATTTTCACCCTCAAACTGTGCAGCACGTCCTTGATTTCCAAAACCATTTTCATAATGTCGAATGCACGCTTCAGCATGGCAGATCTTTGTTCGTCTTTTTCAGCATTAATGTGCACTGCACTCAACTTTGGTAGTGTTCCTTCGTGTGCATGTTTCAGCATGGTAGATCTTTGTTCGTCTTTTTCGGCATTAATGTGCACTGCACTCAACTTTGGTAGTGTTCCTTTGTGTAACCAGCCTTGATCGTTTTTACGACAAAAGTAACATATGTATTCATCGGGTACATCTTCCTTTCGTTCTATCGCATTACAAATGCCGTGTTGCCAGCATTGGCACAGATCACACTGAATCATCAATCCATCTTCCTCCATCTTGCAGCAAATGCAATTAACTATATCTTCTTCGCTTAATTCTTCGACTTTGATAAGCTCGTCATTTTCTAATATTGTATCACCTACTACAGGTGGAATTGTGTCACTGGCACTACTATTAGCTAATTCTGAACTATTTAAAAAGCTAGATTTATTACTGGAATCTAAAGTATCATCTCTGTCAAAGACGCTGTCATCCGATAGAGAAAAACTGTTATCAATTTCAGAAAATTGCCTTTGCTTTTTAGATATTGGGGCTATACTTGATTCACTGGTAAGTCTCTTCTTCATTCCTCTTAGATCGCTTGGCCTGCATATCTCTGGCTCTGCATTTGTTGGCAGAAAATTTTCTGGTACATTGTGAACAATAGATAATGAACGCCTAACTGGCAATAAAACTTTAATACCAGTACGGGCTTTTTTGTCTTTGTTTCTCATATCGAATGAAGTTCCAGGAGACGCAGTACAATTGTTAAGATTACTTATTTCGGATAAACTATCTTCATGATTACTGTTACCTCTTTCTGCTTTTATATCAATTTTGGTTTGACTTTCAGATTCAGCTTTAGAAATTCCTTTTTTGTCACAGGTTGAAGAAGTACGTAATTTAACATGATTTGGTGGCAAAGTTTGCTTTCTAGATTTTTTTGAAACAATATCTTCAACAGGCTTTCCAGCAGTTCGAGCATAAGCTAAGTCAGCAACATTAGGTATTAAGTTATCCAAGTATGGAACCAATTCTTTATGATAGTTTTTTATATGTTGTTTGATAAAGTTTTCAGTTCTAAATGATTTACAACCTTTTGGACATTTTAAAGCGCCATCTTTTGTTTTAACTCTCAAACTTCCAATTACAATACTGGAATAATTTTGATCACTTTCAATTGGATTAACTGAAATGTGAAAATTGATCATTAGAAAAATGATATTCAATTAAAAATATATAAATGAATGTAAATGTACCTGGTATTTCCACAAGAGTTTGAGTCTTGGTCTTGACAACTACTCTAGCTGGCTCTGGCGTTTGAATAACATCTGCATTTTGGCTACTGGTCTCTGTTTCTTTGTCGTTGCCATGAGATGTCTTAATTTGGCCATCACACCATGTGCCATCAATCCTTTTGGCTATAACATTTTCACTAATTTGAAAAGTATTGGTTTGCTCTTCAGGAGGCTGAGTCGTCATCTTCAGACGCGAACTATCCATTGGTATCCATTCATTGGATCTAGTTGCCATATCGTCAAAGTGAATCAAAACATCCTTCCCTTGAGCATCGACCTCGACTACCCTAGCACTGAGCCAAACATCATTGTAATCCTTGACTTCCAACTTCAAACCGGGTAAATAGACAATGTTGGACTTGTCCATGATCTCAGCTTTGATACTGTCAGAGATCTGTTTGGGCTTTGCTTCGTCGAGGCCGGTGTTCTGAGCGACTGGCTTTTGACTACCTATACCAACTGCTGCTGCGAAGAAGTAATCGGTGTCCCGCGTTAAAACAGTCGACTGGATGGAGGACGAATCTAAATACTGGCTAATCGAGCCGTCTTCGAAACTGGTGCTTGCTGCGGTGCTCTTGTTGTTCAGCGAGTCGTGTTGTTATTGTCGACGACTAACTGTCACTCGCTGCTGCTTTTACTGCTGATTGAGCTCGAGCGCGTAGTCTGCTGCCCCGTACAACTATCAAATCGCTAGATACGAATTGGATCGGGAATCGGGATGATTATCGTAATTCTCGTAGAGCCCATCTTGAGAAAGTAAAGGACTATTGCAGCAGCAGACGATTCGGCTGGGGGTATGACGAAAGTCGTCGGTGAAGCCGTCGGTTGCGAGACATGAGGTATATGTACAGGTTGATCGAGATCCTTTCCACCAAGCATTTTTGAGTCATGTTTCTATACTCTCTGGTTACATGTATTACAACGAGTGTGTGCGTGTGTCACGTTACACATATGCACTTTACATTAATACTACATAACCAACACCCACGTGTCATATTTCTAGTTTACCACGTGTGCTATAAACACTTACACGTAACTTGACACAACGTAATGTAACGCAATGAGTCGAGTTTCGAGAGTCGCCTTAATTTATGACATAATGATGGCGGTTTGGTGTCTCGCACCCACCTGGCCACAGAGCGCAGTGAACAGATGAAACTTGAATTTTGAAAAGACATTAGACAAAAGTGGGCAAAACGTTAATGGCCGGATGACGCAGAGTTTACTCACAGTCGGCGCCACGTGACGAAGAAGAAGAAAAGTGTGCAATGCCTGCAGTCTGCACAGTGCAGTGCACTCTGAGGAGAATAGAAGCTTGTAGAGCCTGTTTTACATTTCTGCTTAATTTTAATTTTTATGGAGTTTTTATGTTATAAACATGATTTTTTTGTAAAATTGTATAAGGAATTACGGTTTGTTATTGAAAATCATGTTTATAGCCTAAAAATCTATTAAAAATCAAGAAAGTCTATCATCGATTGGTCTAGAAGCTCATAGATAGACCATAATATTCAAATTTGTTCATCTTTAATTAATATACAGATTAAATTTGACAGCATAAAAGGTGTTGAAATCTTGGTTTTTCAATCAAAGTTTAGTTCAAGTTTCATTGATGGTCTATCGATGAGTATATTACACTTTTGGATCATTCGATAGGTACGAACAACTTCATTTTTAAAAATTTTATGCTATTTTTGGCTTTTAATGGGTTTTTAGGTATAGAACATTACTTTTGATAACAAAATGGAATTCCTCATCAAATTTTACATCAATAATCATCTTTCAACAATTTTTTCATGCCCACCCAAAAAAGCTTGAAAGAAACTTGAAAAGTGAAAATTCAATTTTGAGGCCCTGCATAGATACTAGAAGACTTCAGTTTTCAGCGTACTTTTTAAGAGTTCCCTTTTGTTGTATATCTTGCTTGACATGAAGTTATTTATTTTATTGACTTAGAAAACATGTGTTAATGGTACACATAATAAATGGAATTGTTGGTGATCTTAGGCAGTATAGGGAAGTATAATAATGAAAACTTGGTATATTATAGTAATTTTTTTTTATTAATTCCATCTGAAGAAGAATAAATCATCTCGACACACATCATTATTTTGCTCTTTTCGAAGGTTCTTTGGCCTTACATGTTTTTATCTTTCTTTTTACGTCACCATAAATGTTGGTCTGCAGCCAAAACAATATCATACAAAGATTCGTTCGGCAAGTGCCGAACGATCATCTCGCACAATTCAATTGGCAGTCGATAATGTATCAACTTCTGTAACGGGCACAGCGCCCATTGTCGAAAAAATCCTTTCAGCATCGTCTCGCACAGCTGCAAAACGCAGGGATCTCGGTGCTCTTCGCACAGCAGATCGATCTTTTTCGAGTGCGCGAACGCGAAATAATCGCGGTATTCGAGCCGGCCCTCGTCGTCTTCCATACGAACCAATTCGTCGAGCGACAGATCCTCGATTATCCTTATCTCCTTCGCTACGCTGGTGAAACTATCGTCGTCGTACCAGCGTCTCGCTGCCTCGTTCGCCATCGGTTTCTGGAACAGCTTGAACTTCTTCAACGAGTTCGCGATCGTCGTGAGCTCGCTTTGGACCAGTGGTCGGTTGATTCTCCCCTCGACGTTTTCGGCCACGACCAAAATACCGGTCAGAAGTCTGAATTTGGCTATCAAATTCTTATTCCTTTTATTGTCCGCCAGCAAAAACTGCTCGACGGTGCGTTGGAGCGGGGTCCGACCAGAGGCGTCGGGGCCGGCGTTGTCGAGCGGCTGGTTCGAATTTTCCACAATCCACAAAAACACCTCCGCCAAAGCCTCGTCCTCGCCTCTGACACAAATGTTCAACGGTGTCAATTCCATTCGATTGGCCAAATTTGCATCGGCGCCTTTTAACAACAGCCCTCTGATCATGGTTCTGTTCCCTCGAGGCATAAGAGCCAAGTGTAGCGGCGTGTTGCCCACGTTATCCGGGGAGTTGACCAGTTGCGGTCTGGTCATCAGCAACACCATCATTGCCGTCCTTGATTCGATATTTTTCCGACGGCAAACGATGTGCAAAGCGATCTCTCTTTTATCGTTGGCCACGTCGGGATCGGCACCGTTGAGCAGCAAAAACCTGGCCAGGTCGTTGCGATTGTGTTTGAGCGCGCTGAGCAATGGTGTGTCACCCGAGCTGTCACGAGCGTTTAGCCGCAATGGCAGATGGTCTGCTCTGCTCCACCGAATCAACGAATTCGCCAACTCTAAAGAACGTCGTCCGGTACTCACGTAATGCAACGCTGTGCAGCCGGTTTTATCGCTTAAATTTGGGTCGGCGCCGTTTCGAAGCAGGATTTCGGCAGCCGTATCGTTGAAGGTTCCGCTGGCGGCAGAAATTCTGATTGCCAAGTGTAAAGGCGTATTGCCAGAGCCATCTCGCGGATCCACGTCCAACGGCCGATCGTATCGTACGCCAAGATCGAATAGACTTGCCACGTGCCTGCCCGCGGGGTAATTCCTCGCGCAGAGTTCGTGCAGAGGTCTGCATTGCCTAGCATTAGCCCAGTTTGGATCGGCGTTGTTGTTCAACAGCAACTCCATCGCCTCGTCGTTTCCGTATCTCACGGCGATATGAAGCGGCGAGTCGAGCGTCTCCCGCCAAAGTAAATTTGAATCGACCCCGTGATGGAGGAATCTCCGCACGATTTCCAAGCAGTTGCTGTACTTGCAGGCCGCGTGAAAGTGCGTTAGGCCGGACTCGTCGGTATAATTCACGTCGACTCTGTTGTAGATGATGAAAAGATTGCGGGGCACGCTCGACCAGCTCCTCGCGTCTATGAAGTTTGCCCGATAAGCACGATGCAAAGGTGTAGTGCGCTTAGACGACGACGACGACGACGAGGGTTGAGGTGGTGCTCGCTCATCGGTATAGCCAGTGCGCGCAACGAAGTCGATTAATTCTCGGCCGATTATGTCCCGTTCGTCGCCGATCGGGCAATTGTCCATGTGGTCTATTAGATCTGTGATGAGGCGCTCGATTCTTTCCGGACAAATTTCCCGGAGATTAGGAAACTCTTCCTCCTTCCAATCTTTGACCAAAAGATACAATTCTTCGAGTCGTCTCTCCGCGACGTATCGATCGAAACTTTCTAGCGAGCTTCTCACTTTCTCCAAATTCTCGAACGTAGACATCTTTCGAAGCACGTGTATTAACAAACACAATTCACAATCGTTATAAGCGCTTTGAGTTTAAACTTTTTTTGAGAAATTTTCGATTTTGATTTAAAAGAGAAAGAAGCACTATAATATTTCTATATATTACAGTTTTATTATGGTATTATTATAGTACTATAGTACTTTCTTTTTTTTGGAATCGAAATCGGAAATTTTGGGAATCCAAGCACTTTTTTCAGCTACACTGCGTAATAAACAAGAAGATGATTTAAGAATATTAATAATTCTTTTCTCAATAAATCACTTTTGCCGTTGATTTGATCTATCTTAGTTCTTTACACTACAAAGTTTAAAAGCTTACTGATCGACTTACATACTTTCACATGTATGGTGAAAGTAAGTAAGCACATATAATAAGAGTAGGGGTACGCGCACGCTATTCGTCTAAGAATGAGTGGAGGCGGGGAGCTAGTTAAGTTATGAATTATTTTATAAATTCAATTTTGTTCAACTTGTGCATTAAAGAATTATTTCAATACTAATTTTGTTGAGTAATTAATACTGTTCCAAAAACTTAATAGATTGTTCTTGAATACTTTATTTAATAAAAGTGAAGAATAAATGTAAATAATAAAGCACTTCTCTTCAAGTATATTTCAATGCGATGAATAAATTTTAACGTTAAAAATGCAACATAGTGAAATTCTGTATGGTACAATTACTCACATTTTTGATAAATAGTTTGTTTTGGTGCTTGCCTAATGAGTTATTGATTCACTACTTGTAAAATTTTTAGGAAATATTACTCTTTTCTTTCGTTAGATTGTGCTTCAGCATGCATTTGGCTTTCTATAACAATTATTTATTGAATGATTATAAGAGAGCTAGATGACATAGAGATACTTGCATATATTTTAACATGCGTAGAGAATGCGCACAATTGCAAATCTATAAAGTTTTTACGAAGCTCGTTTTGAAATTTTCAAACCAGCCTTTACTGGCGTTGAAAGCTTCTTCTTTTCCATACTTTGTGCACAAGTAGTCATGAAAAACTATTGCTTGGTCACGAATAGCTGCACTGCTGATTGGAATTTTATTGTGCATGAGGTCTTATATCCAAATTAGTAGCATCATCTCGACTTTCTCAATCAAATTTGATCGAACAACTTTAGTAAATTGAGCATGCTGTCCTAAGTTTTTTGAGCTCTCACGGATTTTCGATGCATTATCTCGGATCGTTCGAATGGTGGATTTATTTATATTCCGAGGCCAGGGTGCAGGTGCTTGATGAATGAGGCGTGAGGAGCGTGTGTTCGGCTTAAAGACTATTTATTGAGAGAGTACTTATATCTAATTACATGGCTATTTACAAATTATTTCCTCCCCGCTCTCGCCTCAGCTGAGGCGGCTCGGCGGGGCGACCTGCGTATAGCGCGCGTCTCTGGCGCGGCAGCTACAGATTCATTGACGTCGAAGCGCCGTGCAATCCAAGCAGTTTTTTCTCCGTCATCGATCAAATTTATAATTTTCATCTTATCTGCTAGATTCAAAACTTTTCTGTTGCGTTTACATGATGTTTTTAATGGAGTTTTCGAGGGAGTTTTTGACGGATTTTTAGAAAGAGCCATATTTAAATAAATTTATAAATTTTCAATAAATTTAGGTTAATTGACAATTTCGACGCGTCTACACTAACCAAATTCAGACTGAATATAGATACGTTCGAGAAAAAAATCTCGATCTTCGATCCGCGGATAACAAGACTCGAACCGCGGATACGAAGGGATGGGCGCAAATCGACTATAACCGCGGATAACGAATTCCGCGAATAATAAACCCGCGTATAACGAGGGACTCCTGTATAATCATTGAAACGCAATCGAATTGAATGAATAGATATATTGACTTAATTAATTTATTTTTCTTGATTTTATTATTTTTATTTTATGCTGTTCTTGTAAAGCTGTGCTATTGATTTAAAACACAAGTTTTTCGCTTTCGTTTTCCCTTGTAAGCATCGCGACATATCCATGCGAGGACTTAGTGGCAAATTATGGATCACGCCATTTCGTGGGGAGGAAAACTTTTCGATGAACATCAAAATTTTTTATCATAGTTACGTGTAACGGCATTTAGTTGATTTCTGCTTTTTGTATGAACTCGATGTTGTCTGTAGAAAATTTTTGCGATAAGTAATCAGGTTTAGAATCCCAGGAAATTTTTCGAAGGAATCGTCGCGTCAAGTTAAAATTTTAAATTGTTACAAATTTGAAAGGAGAATGTATAAACAGACAAATCGGTAATTTAATTGTAAACAATATGATCACAAAACAATTTTAACATTGTTCCTCGAATACTGATCATGTTTATCGTAAAATCAAATTAGTTCGAATATTGTCTTTCTCGATGAACGTGGAACAAATCGAAGGATCCATCGTTTATTTTAAGCACTAAAATGAATAAAAGTGAAAAGAAATCCGACGAAGTTACTTTGAGTGAACAAAACATTGCAGTTTCAGATGACGAAAAATACATTTGTGATATTGGCCAAGAGGCATTTAAACTAGAATCGAGCATGATAACACATCAAAACACAATTCACAAAGATCAAAAAATGTTTGCATGCGATAAGTGCGAAAAAAAATTTGAGTTTCGAGGTCACTTGAGTAGACACCAAATATCAGAACACAAAGGCCATGAAGATTTTGCGTGCAAAGAGTGCGAGAAAAAATTTGTACAAAAATCAAGTTTATTCACACACCAAAAATTGGTACACAAAGATCGTGATTTCACGTGCAACAAGTGCGAGAGGAAATTTGAGAATAAATCAACTTTACTAAAGCACAATAAGATATTCCACGAGGTTTTAAAAAATTACTTATGTGAAATATGCGCCAAGAGATTTGAAAATAAACGGGGTTTGTTCATGCACATAGAGAAAATACACGATGGTCACAAAGATTTCACCTGTGATAATCGCGAGAAAAAATTTGGAATAAAATCGGATTTGTTAAATCGCCAAAGGACAATACACAAACGTCTGAATGATTTCGCCTTGAGTGTCTACAAAGATTACTCATGTGACGTGTGCAAGAAAATGTTTCGACGGCAAGCGAATTTGCTTTTGCACCAAAAAACAGTGCATGAAGGTCATAAAGATTACGCATGCCACAAATGTGATAAGAAATTTGGACACAAGGTGAGTTTGCTTCACCACCAAAAGGCACTTCATGAAGGTCGGAAAGATTTCTCGTGTGACAATTGCGAGAAAAAATTTGCAAATAAATATAATCTGCTTTTACACCAAAAGACGGTCCATGAAGGTCGCAAAGATTACCCGTGCGACAATTGCGAGAAGAAATTTACACAAAAACCGAGTTTGCTTTATCACCAAAAGACAATACACGAAAATCGCAAAGATTACTCATGTGGCAAATGTGATAAGAAATTTGGGGATGGAAGAAATTTGAGAAGACATGAAAAAACAGTGCACGAAGGTCGCAAAGATTACCTGTGCGAAAAATGTGACAAGAAATTTGGACTTAAACACCATTTGCTGTTGCATCAAAAAACAACACATGAGGGTCGCAAAGATTACGCGTGCGACAAGTGTGAAAAGAAATTCGGGCAAAAACCGCATTTATTTCTCCACCAAAAGACGGTGCATGAAAATCGCAAAGATTATTCTTGCGATAAGTGCGAGAAACTATTTAGGTATGAACAACAGTTGCTTTTGCACCAAAAAACAGTTCACGAAAGTCGCGAAGATTACGTATGCGACAAATGCGATAATAAATTCGGACAAAAACAGCATTTGCTCGATCACCAACAGTCAGTTCATGAAGGTCGGAAAAGTTTTGTATGCGACGAATGCGAGAAAAAATTCAGACGAAAAGCACATCTGCGTTCGCATAAAAATATAGTGCACGAAGGTCGAAAAGATTTCGAATGCGATAAATGCGAGAAGAAATTTGGACAAAAATCGAATTTGATCTCCCACCAAAAGATAATACATGAAGGTCGTAAAGATTACAAATGCAACAATTGTGAGAAGAAATTTGGAAAAGCATATGATTTGTTTCATCACCAAAAAGCATTACACGAAGGTCGTAAAGATTTCGCATGTGACAAGTGCGAGAAGAAATTTGGATACCAAAGGGTTTTGCTTTCACACCAAAAGACGGTACATGAAGGTCGGAAAGATTACAAATGCGATAAGTGCGAGAAGAAATTTACACAAAAACCGAGTTTGCTTTACCACCAAATGATGGTACACGACAGTGGTAAAGATTTTTCGTGTGACAAATGCGAAAAAAAATTTACACTCAAATCAGATTTGTTGAAGCATCAACTGAATGAAGATCGAAAAGATTATGAATGCAACGATTGTGAGAAGAAATTTGGAAAATTATCTGATTTGGTTCAGCACCAAAAGGCTGTACACGAAGGTCGTAAAGATTACACATGTGATCAGTGTGATAAAAAATTTGGGGATAAAAGAAATTTGAGAAGGCACCAAAAGGCAGTCCATGAAGGTCGCAAAGATTACCCATGCGAAAAATGCGAGAAGAAATTTGGACAAAAAACGCACTTATTCAAACATAAAATGACAGTACACAAAGGTCAGTATGATTAAGATTGCAAATTGGGCGAGAAGAAATGATAATTGATAATTGTAAGTATGTATAGATACTTGTATAGATATGTTTCTTAATGTAAATAAAAATTGTGCTGAAATGATTTTGTATTACTTGAGGCTCGGGGGTTGAATTATCATTAGACTTTTTTACATGGATATTGTGGTGTTTTCAGATTTTGCGTACTGTTAATCACTGCATTCCGTTTATTTTATGGACACATAATTTTTCAAATTAATTTATATTTTACTATTATAAAACTTGAAATATCGCATTTTATCTCGAAATAGTTAAAAATAAAAGTTATAATAAAAAAATATCAAATGTATTGTTTTTTGATTTTCAAAGTTGGATCGGTAATTTCGGAATAAAAATCATTGTAACGCATTCGAAATAAATAAATAAATAAATAAATAAATAATTAAATAAATAAATAAATAAATAAATAAATAAATAAATAAATAAATTGACTTAATTAATTAACTTTTTTCGATTTTATTTATTTTTTGGCTTTTGTTTTCCCTTGCAAAGCATCGCGATATATCCATGTGACGACCAGAGGCGGGCTATGGAGTAAATTTTGGGATGAATATAAAATTGTTCATTATGCATACGTGTAAAAGTATCTAGTTACTCTATGTTGTTTGTGTGAACTCGACGTTGTGTGTGGAAATTGAAATTTTAAATTGTCCTGTTTGGGAAGGAGAATGTATAAACAGATGAATCGATAACTTAATTGTAAATAATATGATCATGAATGATTTGACTTCGAACAGTGATTATGAGTATGGTCAAAGCAAATTAGTTTGAAAGTTGTTTTTCCCGATGAAACAAGTCATAAAACCAAAAGATTAATTTTAATTAGTCAATTTTCGTGGTACTAAATAGAAGAATCCATTGTTCAATTTAGACTCCAAAACGGATAAAAGTGAAAAGAAATCCGAGGATATTTGTGTTTCGGACGAAAAAAAATACGTTTGTGATATTTGCCAGGAGGTATTTATGCTAGAATTAAGCATGATAACACATCGAGACACATTTCACAACGATCAAAAAAATTATGCATGCGACAAGTGCGAGAAAAAATTTGAGTTTCGAAGTCATTTGAGTAGACACCAAATATCGGAACACAAAGTTCGAAATGATTTAGCATGTAACAGCTGCGACAAGAAATTTGTAAAAAAAGCGAATTTGATAATGCATCAAAAATTAATGCACAAGAATCGCGAAGATTTCACGTGTAACTATTGCGAGAAAAAATTTGAAAATAAATCAACTTTACTGAAGCATAAAAAAATATTCCACGAAATTTTCAAAGATTACTTATGTGAAAAGTGCGCGAAGAGATTCGGAAATATATATAGTTTGCTCCTACACATAAAGACAGTACACAAGGGTTGCAAAGATTTTGCCTGCGACAAATGTGATAAGAAATTTGGATACAAAAGGGTTTTGCTTTCACACCAAAAGACAGTACATGAAGGTCAGAAAGATTACGCATGCGACAAATGTGATAAGAAATTTGGTCATAAAAGAAATTTGAGAAGACATCAAAATACAGTTCACGAAGGTCGCAAAGAGTACCTATGCGAAAAATGCGAGAAGAAATTCGGACAGAAATGGGATTTGCTCACCCACCAAAAGATAGTCCATGACGGTCGCAAAGATTTCTCATGTGACAAGTGCGAGCACAATTTTGGGAAAAAAGTTTCTTTGATTAGACATCAAAAAATAGTACACGAAGGTCACAAAGATTTCGCGTGCGACAAGTGCGAGAAGCTATTTAGGTATGAACAACAGTTACTTTTGCACCAACAAACAGTACATGAAGGACGGAAAGATTTCGCATGTGACAGATGCGAAAAGAAATTTGGACAAAAGGTGAATTTGCTTCTCCACCAAAAAACAGTTCATGAAGGTCGGAAAGATTTCTCGTGTGACAATTGCGAGAAAAAATTTGCAAATAAATATAATCTGCTTTTACACCAAAAAACGGTCCATGAAGGTCGCAAAGATTACCCGTGCAACAATTGTGAGAAGAAATTCGCACAAAAATTTCAATTGATCGGCCATCAAAAGGCAGTCCATGAAGGTCGCAAGGATTACACACTTTCTTGCGACACGTGCAAGAAAGTGTTTCGATGGAAATCGAATTTGCTTTTGCATCAAAAAACCGTACACGACGGCCGGAAAGATTACGCATGCGACAGGTGCGATAAAAAATTTGGAGAAATAGGACAGTTGAATAGACACCAAAAAACAGTTCATGACGGTCGGAGAGATTACGCATGTGACCATTGCGAGCAGAGATTTGGACAGAAAACGGTTTTGCTTTTACACCAAAAGACAGTTCATGAAGGTCGGAAAGATTTTGTATGCGACGAATGCGAGAAAAAATTCGGACGAAAATCACATCTGCAGTCACATAAAAATACTGTGCACGAAGGTCGTAAAGATTACACATGTGACCAATGTGATAAAAAATTTGGGGGTAAAGGAAATTTGAGAAGGCACCAAAAGGCAGTCCATGAAGGTCGCTAAGATTATCTATGCGAAAAATGCGAGAAGATATTTAGACAAAAATCGAACTTATTCAAACATAAAATGACAGCGCACAAATTGTATGATTAAATTTGCGACAAGAGCAAGAAGAAATGATGATTGATAATATGTATAAATACTTGTATGGATATTTTTCTAAATTTCAATAAAATTTATGCTGAATTACCTGAACCTCGAGGGTTAAATTATATCATTAAACTTTTGTACATTGAATTTATGGTGTTTGCAGATTTTGTGTACTGCTATTTAATCACTGCTTTCTTTTTATTTTATGTCCATCTAATTTCTGCAGTTTTTCATGCAATCATCAGCCAAAGAGTGTTTTAATCGCATCTTGTTTGGAACGGTGAATGGGGCAAGTCTTCAGTTGATTACTGAATTTTTAATGAACTTCACGCAATGACACGCGACTCTCAAATACGATTTAGAGAAAAAAGGTTGATAAATTTGCTGACAGATGGATTATTTTTGATGATAAGAGACACGCGATCGGTAACAACAATATGTTTTATCTGAAAAATATTTTTCAAATTTATCTATATTTTTACTATTATAATATGTATTGAAAAAATATCAAACAATAATTTTTGATGTCAATCAAAAATGGGACTTTTTATTCCTTGATTTAGGCAAAGCATTAATGCAATTTATCATAAATATTTGCCTGCGATGTAAATTACACTAACGATGAATAATTTTCAAAATTCTATAACAGTATTTTCTTCAACAATCACGAGTAGTTATTATATCGATTTTGCACTCGAGGTCTAAATACACGTGTATAGCTTACCGACTGTAGAGCGTTGAGAAATTGTTAGATCGATGTACGAGCCTGTAGCATCTGTTATCGTATATAAACGACTCACCGTCAGATGGACTCAGCGTACAAAAAATACGAATTACGAATCAATTATAATTACTGCCAGATATGAAACATTCGTGGGGTTTTCCCGCCAAATACCGCGAAAAGTGTATTTACCCTTTCGACTTTTTTTGCACGTGTCGAAGACGCAGTATGACATTAAAAATTAGTCATAAAACTTCGATTCTCGCGAGGAGTTGTAACTCGCTTACTACACGAGCGCAGAGGAGCATTCAAATTTCCGAAATCAACGGGCCGAGAGACTCTCGTAAACAGATAAGCGCGATAACAAAATAAAAAAAGAAAGAAAGAGTGGTGTCGAAACACGAACAGTAGCGATATTTATTCATTTTTTTTTCTTTTATTTTCCAAAGGATCTTTATTACTGTCAATTCGGAATAGGGAGGGATCTCGCGTCATCGTCGTCGTCGTCGTCGTTGTCGTCGTCGGCCAAAATTTTTTTTCATCGAGAGCCAGAACTGTACATCCGCCTCGCAGCGAGCATGTATTTTTTATATTTCATATTTTGTATCATACAGGGCAGTTAACGCTCTACATATTATTCGCAATCGCACTCGCGCACTACTCGTGTTACACGCATTCGTTAAAAGTTGCGGCTCGCTCGCGCGCGCACGAAACGAAAAAGTTACGACGATAAGACGACGCTCACAGATACATATCATAATAATACACAATTTTATTAATCATCGATCATTGCCTGGCATCGACGCTCGCGCGCGGGTTACGTATCTCGCACACGAACACACAAAAACACACACGTATACGATCGAAGATACAAGTACGTCTCGTCGCTGCGATTGATAATCGAATCGTCTTTCTCTCTCTATATCTTTATCTTCCTCGAACTTTTGGCGCGCGTGTGTGTATGTAGTATTCGTGCGAGCTGCCATGTGAACGTCGTCGCGCGGCGCTCGTTGTACTACCGACCCGCAAAGACAGACGCAGCGCGATTATGGTGTAAATCGTATTATCCCGATCTCGGCTAGAGTTAGAGTTTACGCATTATATAGCAGCGGATCGATCGCGTGTCTCTCGTCTCTTTTTTATTTTAATTTTTTTGTTCGTTATTGATTGTTGATACATAATATCGCGCTCTTTGTCGTCGTCGTCGTCGTCGTCGTCATGTCAGTTATTCAGCCGAACAACGTGTCGCCGAGGAAGCCGCGCAACGAGCTGCTGCTCAAGGCGCTCGTCATCGGCGATTACGGAGTTGGTAAGGAGCGCAACGGAAATTATTTCGATATACACTTATATATATGCACCATTTTGTTGCTACTGTACATAAAGAATTCGATACGTAAAAAATACGAGCGAGAGTCGTATATGCCGTGTTCGTTTGTTGTTATTGTTGGCTGCATTATATATTGCGATAAGCAGCCGATCGGCAGCGCAACGTTGCATATATATAGACTGTACCGAGATTGTTGTGTATAAAACGAGTGCAAAGATTCGACGAGTGCATATGTGTGTGTGTGAAATGTTATACGATATTTATTTATAAACGCGCGAGGCCCGCACGTGGTGTACACGAGTGACGATTTATTATTGTTGTTGTTATTTTATTGTTGTTGTTGTTGTTGTTGCTGTTGCAGGCAAGACCGCCATCGTCAGGAGGTACACAGAAGGTTCGTACGAAGTAACGATTTTTTACAAATATCATAATTGCACAAACCTTTATCGCGATTCGTTCCGACAGGCAAGTTCTCGTCGAATTACAAGATAACCATCGGGGCTGATTTCGCCTTCAAGTCCATCGACTGGGACCACCAGACCAAAGTGAATCTCCAGCTATGGTGAGACACGATTACTGTACCGAAATTACGTTCATCATCTTTTTCATTTTTTTGTTTTTTTTTTGTTAATTCTCTCGTACTCGCAGGGACATAGCCGGCCACGAGCGATTCGGATACATGACAAGAGTGTACTACAAACAAGCGTAAATATAATGCGTACGATTTTATATAAATTAAAAAAAAAAAATTTCACACGCTCGAGTAGACCGATGGAAGTCGCGCGCGCGGAGATAAGAATATACCTTTTCTTAACTTTTTTTCTCTATCTTCTTTGTTCGCTCGTATTCACAATCACATTTGTTTGTTTGTTTGTCTGTTCTCTCTTTCACGACTATCGCGGGGGTCCCATTTTTCACCTATAAAAAAAATATAGAGCCGCAGCCGCTCTGGTCTTCGACGTGAATCGCGTGGACACGTTCAAGTCGCTGAAGAAGTGGCTGCTGGATCTGCGGGAAAAGGTACAGCAGCCCGACGGGAGCAACATACCCGTCATACTGTTGGCGAACAAGAGCGACATACAGCAGGCGGCGGTGACGACCGACCAGATCGTCAAGTTCTGCAAGGAGAACGAGATCGACCAGTACTTCCTCTGCTCGGCCAAGGAGAATACAAATATCGGTAATGATCGTTGTTGCGTTGGGACGAGGAGGACGGAATTTTATCATGTATTGTAATTTCTTTCTTTTGTCGTTTTCTACGCTCGGCGCAGAGGAGGCGTTGCACTTCATGGTGGCGGAAGTGCTGAACTCGAAATTCAAGCAGGAAGTACGGGAGTCGATCACACTTCGCAACGGGCCAATCAGAGGGACCAAACAGGCATGCTGCCACCTCATGTGAATCGTGAACAGTGCAAGTGTGTGTGTATGTGTGCGTGAGCGAATGATGCGTGGGTGAATCATGTATGCAAGTGTACGTATGCGTTTGTGCCATGAAAGGGAAATCACTCTAAACGAAGTATTGTAACAAAATTTCGATTTCCTTTTTCTGTTGTTGTTGTTTTTATTCTATCTTACCTATTTTTTTTTTATTATAAATGTACATAAATATGTTTTTGTTATCGTTATAATTCGTATTTTCTATGTACAAGCAATCGATGCGTAATCTTAATTATTAAATAATATTATTGCGTTCAGGTGTGTCTCGATGGTGCGTACGACATCTAAATACGATCACACGGTGACCATAATATTGTGTATCGAAAAAATTAATTTTTTCGTTTTATAAAAAATGAAGAAAAAAAATTAATCCTCGTATCGAATTATTTTTTTTTACACACGCGACATATACGTTCTTACTAGTTACTGACTGAATGGTTGCGCTCTTATTTTCTGTTAGTCAACGATACGTCATTGAATTAAAATAAAATTAAGTTTTATACACTAAACTTTTACAGAACGGGCATGACATATTTAATATGCGAAGTATACATTGTGTATAAAGTAGTGTACAGCTCGAGGTGATTTATAAAAAGAGAGAGAAAAATACTTCATGCCTCTCGAGTCGCTCCTCTTAATTATAAATGTTATTTTAGCAATCGCACCAGCCATTTTAATGTAATTTATTTACACAACATTCAAATTCGAAAAAATACGTTTACGCTCTTTGGTCGTAATAATAATATTATACGATTACATATAATAATAATATAAAAAATTTGACAACATTGCAACTACGTATAATAAATATATATAAGCATTTTTTTCGATGATATACATATTATAAATTACATAAACACGTTATCAAATCGCAACAATTATTATTAGCACCTAAATTCACAAAAATTCGCGTTCTCTTTCTTTTCCTATTAATCTTTCGCGTCTATTTATAATAATTATAAATACAATTTTAAATATATAATAGTTCTAAACGATTGTACAAAAAAATGAAAACTTTATACATGTACGGAGCAACAGGTTGAATGTGGTCCCTCGGGTTATTTTTTGTTCGTTTATTTTTTCTGAACGATTTTTTTTTTAAATGAAATCGTCTTTAATGGAATTCATGCCGATCGACACGGTTGACACCATCGTTTTATTCAAGTCTTTGGAGTTATCTGCAAAGATAAATAAACTTTGCGTTAAAACACTTATTAATCTCAATTGTGGGGGGTAATATAACAAACAATCGGCAAATCTATATTATGTACAAATCATTTTTGCAACGATAAATAGTATTTACATAGGAATAATGTAGACTTTTTTTTTAAACAAGACAAGTCGATTTACACACAGATTAGTACAGTAAACGAAGGAAAAAAACAATACCATTCGTTACAGCACTACACTTACATTAGGGTGGTTCACTTTTCAAATGTTTTTGGAATCGTTTACCGCTTAGAAAATTTCCACTTGGATTTTTTCGTTCGTTATTTTAAGGCCAAAAAATTTTTGATAAAGGAACCAACCAAACTCACACACACAAATATATAGCAAAGTATGATACAAAGCAACGAGCTAAATTGCACATTACAAGTATGAAAAAACACTCAACAATCAAAAGCCAAAGGATGAATCAAAACATAAAACAAAAAAGTATCTGATCGAGTAAAAAAAAACGTACTCTACTCGCCTCGGAGGACTTCTTTTTTTTTACAATTGCTTTAATTGCGCAGAAAAGAGTGGCGTCAATAACACAATTATTAGCTCGTTTCGGCAAGTCCTGGAAAATAATAAATAAAGCCAGCTTGAGAACGAATGCACATAGATGTAAGAAGGCAGACAAAGTATATAAGCGCCCGCAACGAATGATCTTTCGCAGTGTGTGTATGTGTAATTGTGTAATTACAACAGTTTACCCAAACCTCGAATTAAAAAATAAAGAATGAGAGATGATGCATTATGTATGTACAAAAGTAATTAATTAAGTTAACGACAGATGAATCTCTCTTAAAAATTCGTGAATAATGTCAGTCTATCCGTATTATACATCATAATACGGTCGAGTCTAGTTCGTTGAGATAATCAAATTAATTTCGAGTTTCTCGTAATCATATCCAAAAATCTGGATAATTGAAAAAAGAAAAACGAAGCAAACCCGCTAAAATCACAAAAAAATCGATTATCGTTATCATCGTCAAAGTTTGGTCACGGTCACGACGTAATTGTTCTGTTGCAGTTGTTGTTGCTGCAGCAACTGCTGCTGTCGCTGCAGCTGTTGCTGCTGCTGATGTTTCGGCTGTTGCAGTTGCTGCTGCGACGGCGACGACGTGGACGGCATCATACCTTGGTGGGGATAATTGTTGTTGTGGCCGGGCGCGCTGCTGCCGTGGGGCGTCAGGCTCGCCCTGATCCTCGAGCAGCTGATCACCCCCGCGTAGGCCTGGCGATACTGCTTGTTCATGATCACGTAGATGATCGGGTTGACGCAGGACGCGACGTAGAGCAGCAGATAGCCGATCACGTGGAAGGCTGAGAAAAAAAACACCAGAGTTAAGTAGAGCGACTAATTGCAGACGATCGCGATCAACGACGTCTCAAGGCAACAATTATTACGGCTCGTTGAGTTAATGATACACGCGCGAGTATATTTTTTGTATAACGGATGCGTGCGATCGTTTACCTGGATTACGGACTTCGGGATCGGCGATCTTGACGATGGTGATGGGCAGGTAGCAGGCGAGGAAGCCCAAAAATATCGCCAGCACCATCTTGGTGATGCGCCACTCGCTGCGGCCCTTCTTGATCTCGCGCTGGGTGCTCTCCGGGCGGGCGGGCGAGTACGGCGATTTGATCTGCTGCATCGCCGGCTGATGCTGCGTCTGCTGGGGCTGCGTGTGCTGCCTCATTCGCTTCTCCGATCTGTGGAGGTTTTTTTTTTTTTTAGTTAGATATCTTTCATTATGTATAGTTGCGCCATTTTTCCATTACTCACTTGTGCACGACCCAGAATATTTTGGCGTAGCAGGCGACGATGACGATGCAGGGTATGAAGAAGCCGGTGACGAACAGGAACGTCTTGGGCGATCGGCCGTTCGCGTCCGGCACTATGGAGCACGTCTCCAGATTCGGATCGTAATCGAATTGACCTGCATTGGTTTTTTTCAATTGAGTAAATAAGCGAAAAAATGAGGAATAGCTGCAAAGGTCAATTACCCCAGGAGCCGAGCAGAGTCGGTATCTGCATGCCGTAGGAGAAAACGACGCAGAACAGCAGCATGAGAGCGATCCAGTGCTTCTTGTAGACCTTGGCGTAAATACTGTGGTGGGCTATCATTATGTACCTGCGCGGGAAGGAAATTCTCAATTACTTGCTTTCGTACGGAATTTCGCAAACGAATATCCTGGCAGAAATGCTCAACATTTTATGGCCAAGTTTTTGGCTAAGAAAAACGTTTATTGAACATAAATAAATCATTGGAACAGGACATATACTAGTCAGAAATGTACAATTTTTTTCAACATTATAAGAACTTACAAGCCTTTTACAAGGCTCCAAGTTTTTTAATCGTAACAAAATTCAAGTATTGTACGATAATTCAATCGATTTGACTTATACGATTATCATTACTTTGCCACTTGCAGATTTACATATGAAGAGGTACTCGCCATCTAGCGGCGGAGTAGTGGGTGTTATCGTATGAAAAATGATAGAAAACTGATCTAATTAATTTAAGCAATTCAATTATCGTTTTCAGTTCGTTTAATACGCAATTAATATTTGTAACATAAATGCTACAGAACCAAAGGCGGACTGAGGCCCTCCTACTGCTCGGGAATCTTGGAAAATTTGGCCTTTTTCAGTAGTGTCCCACCGGTAATTTTCTCCAATTCCCTATGGCCAGTCCGACTATCAACTAAACGAAAATTTTCTTTTGATTTAATTTTTCTATCGAGAAAAAACCCTTAAAAATTAGAAAGAAAATGTTTAAACCCGACTTTCTTTCGTTTCGACTTATACAATTGTTTTGACTTTGGTACTTGCAGATTTGAAAACAAAGGTAACTCTCCATCTAGTGGTAAAGGCTCAAAGTTACATCGTTACATTTAATATTGTGGTCGAAAACTGGTCTAAATTAAAATGACGCGAGCTATTGAACATCATTACCCACCTATTGATCGTGATAGCTCCGACGAAGAGTAGACTGACGCCGGTGTTGCCGTACCTCAGGAACGGCACGAGGGAGCAGAGAAAGCTGACGTGGGCCCAGCTGACGTCGATGAAGCGCATCGAGTCGAACGGCAGCACCAGCGAGCAGAACACGAAGTCGGCGACGCACAGGCTGACGATGAAGGCAGCCGCGACGTTGCGCACCTTCGGATACTTGAGCAGGGCGACGATTGTGAGCAGATTGCCGATCACGCCGACGATCATGATGACGATGGAGACGGTGGCGGCCACGTTGCGCAGCGGCTTTGGGAATCTGACGATGTTAATGAATGTAGACACGCACGCGAGCCGCGCGTTTATGCGGTATTTAATAATTGTGACATTGTGCTCGCATTATTTTATCGTGTGTATAAACGAGTGTCAAGTGCAGCGAGGCGATCGCTCGAGAAAAAATTGTAAACAAACCTCGACATGTCCGGATCCATGGATGTGTCTTGGCCGGCGCCGATGCTGATGTTTCGTCTCATCGCCCAGCTGGACGACAGAAGCTGATCCGTCATCTGTAAAATCGAGCGACGAAAACTTTAATAATTACGTGTGTGTATATACACAATGATTGTGGGTATATTTTTATAGGACAGCTGATCTGCATTTCTCACGAGATATACGATACTACGAGCTATATAGGCGATCGGATTTTCCAGCCGCACTTTGTAATATAATGTCATCATAGTGATGGATAATTCAAACGCCAATATAAATAATATAATATCGAATTACTCGGCGCTCGACCCGTACCACCCATTGTCTCTCTCGCGCGCGTATATATATAATTACCCGTGTGAATCGGCTATATTGTTTTTTTTTAGAAAGCGCAGATAAGACGACGAGAGTGACGAAATGAAAATAAAATGAAGAAAAAAAAGAGTAAACGCGCGGGCCGATCGGATAAAGGCAAACACGAGCAGGCATAGCGAAGACACTTGCGAGACGACGATTCGAGCCGTATTACGTTCCGAATATAAAAGAGATTAGCCCTAATAAGACGACGAAGTTATGTGTCTGTGTGTGTGCGTTGCAATTAGGGACTCACGTATACACCATCGTACACGCTTCGTAATTTACCAACAATTATGTCTCGTCGCGTTGAATGAGAGAGAGAGAAAAAAAGAGCAGCATCACCGGCGGTAACGGCAGTAGCGGTAGCAGCTTCCTCCCGCAACGAAAAGATTTGTCCTTTTACAAAAGCCAATGAAGCGCGATGACTTCCCAGAAGCCATTTATAAATTAATGTATAAAATAATTTTCGGTGCGATTACGCATCGTATCGTGTATGCATCGCGTTATGTTACATTAAAGGCGATCGGAAAGAGTTCGGAGGTAGAAATACGACTCCGCCCAAAAAAAAAGACTCTACGTATCCACGCGTGTGTGAATATGATTAAACTCAATTACATCTAGATATATATAGGCGCACTGTCGGCTCGCGCACGCGTCTCTTCGAGTGAGAAAAATAAACGCGTCGATTACCATCATCCCGCGTACGAACAATCAACAGGTATTCATCATTCATACCCGCAGGCTTATAGTCCCCCGAAAACACACACACACGGAAAAAACTATATATAATCGTGTGGGTGGGCAGAGTCGAATTCGTCACTCTACGGGACCTTGAATCGATGCATTATTATATACTCGCGAGACAATCAAGCGTAATATTAATATTTATATTACGAGCCAATTGAGAGTACAGCTCGTGTGCAGCGAATCGCGTCCGTCTCTTTCATCGCTATGTGTCTCTCTCTCTCCCTCTCAATCTGCTTCTTCTTCTCATTATTAAACGGCGACGACGACGACGACGACAGCGGCATATAATAATTGAATCGCAATTCGCAAATGGAAAGCAATCTCGTTTTTCTATGAAATATGTCGCGCGCCGGCCTCAGTTGATTTACATACATGTAATCATCGAGAGAGAAGATTCACGATTGGACCGTGTCCGTTAATTGCGAGCTATATAGTGCTGCGAAGTGTTGTATCTATCTACACGATATCAAAGCGAGAGAGTTCGAGTCATTTGTGTTATATATTGCATATTATATTGCCATGAGTCATCCGTTAAATAGCTCCGGAGCTGACGACGATCATCGGCGCGTCCAATCATAAAACTTTCAAAAGATTTCGATAAATTATCCCAAATATGTGTGACCGATATCTTTCCGTACTCATATACCAACGCTGGCATAGACGATCGAACTGCAGCTACGTATACGAATATTATATATAGAAAATCCAGCGCGATCGTTTAGAAAATCATGTACATTCATCCGGGATCGTTACACACTTATGTATATATATCTTCTCTCGCTCGACCTCGATCAATGATGATTTGCTATTTCACTACTTATACACATTCGTTCGTATGTACCCGCGCGTCACTCGACTACGTATCGATATCTATAGATGCATACACATACGTATATGCATTTTATTAATGCCGAGTCGTCCCCGAGGAACAACAATCCCGAAATTAAATATAGAACGCTACGACGACGATCATGATGTTGCGAGCGTAAGTGTGTACCGGCGCCGCGAGCGTGACTTCCTGTTCCTGGAAATTTCAAGTGTATATCTCTTTTTTTTTGCCTTTTTTTGTGTATTTTTTTTTTTTTTTTTTTATTATCGCGAGTTACGAGCACCGGAAAAAGAGGATATATACGCGCACGCGAGAGAGTACCTATCTTCATACGTACGCCGCGCGGCACACTTATGTTATAGATACACCCCGTATATACATAGCTTATAATTTTAAAGCCCTCGTAGTGTGCCGCCGCTGCTGCGTGAAGTGCGGAGTGGCGGAAAACCCACTCGTTTTGATAGATAAATCTGTGCGTGTACAGACGCGCGCTGCGTGCCGCTACTGTATATGATATATTTTTCAAAAAAAAATTAAACACGGAACAGATACCCGGTGTATAAAGTATATGAGCGTGTAATCTTTCGTTTTCGCTCGACTTCAAAACCCCCTCGTATTATATTATACTCGTACGCTTTGTAATGTGGGTGGTTGCGGGATGAATTTCTCGCGTACGCATAAACATTTTTATTATATGCCGGCTCGCGCGCGCGAATTGACTTTAACTGGGCGAAATGAACTAAAAACACTCGGGCGTAGAAGTGTCGTGAGAAGCTGCGTCTCGCTCGCAAACAATTATAATCGAGACGCGTCGACGACAAAGACGAAAAAAAAAAAAAAATTGAAAAGAGAGAGTATAATACGATTTGTCAAATACTATACCAAATTAAAAAGTTTANCGCATAGATCCAAATCCAATTTAATATTCTTCAAATTATCCAAATGCTGATTATTAAACTCAATCTACCATTGTTCAATTACATGGCTATGATATGAATGAAATTAACTATATTCTAAAAATTACTCAGCATAACTGAAATTTTTATTTGTCAAATACTATACCAAATTAAAAAGTTTACCATACAGTAATTTAAAATAATACTTTTTTCAAAAGATTAAACTAGTGCAAGTATGACAGTCTTATCCCAATTCAAATCTAACTCACGAATCTATTATTTTTCTAATTTTGGAATAGTTGAATATCAATCTACTATTGAACAATTATTTAAAGAACTATGATAGTAAGGAAATCAAACATATTCTGACAACTATTCATACGCAAAATGAAATTTTCTTTTTCAAACTTTTATTATACTAA